AAAAAAAAAAAAAAAAAAAACATACAGACGAATTGAGTACCTCCTTCTTTTGGGAAGTCGGTCAAAAATATATAAGTTTAATTACGATTAAATAATCATATTAAGATAAACGATAATAAACTTTATTATTTCAAACAAATATTAACAGCTATTTTTATGTTTTTTTTAGATCGTTCAGGACAGAAGTAAATGATAACTATAGTTGTACTCATCAAACAGATATGAAAATGGACATTGAAAAAGTAAGCAGCAAATATCAACGTGCTATTGGAAAATTAAAAACAAAATCACCATATGAAGACGCGATTATGCAGAAGACATATGTAACGGAAAGTTCTATCATAGGGTCAAAAAAACCTATTTGCTCAGTTTTTGAACAATGTGTGAACAAAAATAAGCGACTAATGAGTAGATTAGAGAATGAAAAATAATTAATTTAATAATAAATCGTCATCAACTTGCCCTTATCCCTTATGGAAGGTCGGCACAATATGTGCTGCTCTTCCATACATCTCTATCAGCCGTCGTATCTCAATCCACTCCTTTCTTAAGCATATCCTCTTTCACACAATCCATCCTCACTTTCTTTGATCTTCCTCTTCCGTTAACTTAATAATAAATATAACAATCTTTATTATTAAGTTAAAGGAAGAGGAAGATAGAGAAGAGATAGAGAAGAATAGAGAAGATAGACAATAGTTTTAATAACAATTACTCGATGTAGCAAGCCAGCTACAGGGAATGTACAAGTAGAATGTCTTATTTCCTGAAGATATTAGTAAGAACGAATTAATACGAAATATGAGTTAATCTATTGAGAAAAACAATGGATTTACCTAATTCATACTTTTTCCGTACTTTCGTATACATTTTCGTCCATAAATATGTATTCAAACTTAACCTTACTGGAGATTATTTTGTCTATTGGTTTATTATTGTGTCAATAAAGAAAATGTCATAAAGTACTTGAAACTATCAATGTAAATAGTCATTACTAATAATAAAAACCAACAAAATGCCTCCAAAACATAAATGGAAATAGTGTACTTTATAATTTTTCTTTTGATAATATTCTATGCGATATATCTCATCCATCCTTACTGGACGATAATACTTTCCGTAGTGCTAGCTTATGCACTTTACACGCAAATATGTTCCATATTTTAACTGGTAAGTATCTTGTAATATATTTTTAATACCGAAACCGGTTAATTCGAATTTTTTCTTTTTTAAAAAAAAACAGCCTATGTTTGTTATTTAGCAGCTGGCAGATGTAAATAAGGAAGCGAATACATTGGAATTGTTTTACAAAAGTAAAAGAACCTAATGGAAACTAGTCTATGGGTATCTATTAATATAATAAAGAGGAAAGATTTATACATTTGTATGTATTAAACTCAAAAACTACTGCACCGATTTTAAGAATGCACCATTAAGAATACGTTATCAATGAGTAACATAGGCTATTCTTTACTATTTTTTAATTTTACGTGAACAAGGCTATGAGGAACTAGCTAGTACTCGTATAGTATCAAAGTTTTTCTTTTCATATTGGCTTGTGAATAATTGATCATGTGCGAACACCAGAGGGTAGGGGCAGACCCCCTAGTAACCCTACACCTAGCCTAGATCATTGGCTGCTCAACTTTAATTTAATTTTTTACGTTTCTCAAATGTCAAAATCCAAATGCATAAATGACAACCTTGCTTCCTTAATGTTGGTAGCTTGTAGATTATGATCCCTTTCCGACATGAAGGCTTTTTTACAATTTATTTACCGATTAAGTTTAATAGTGTGAAAATTTATAACCTAAAGCATGTCGCAAGTGTAGGGCTTTTATTAAAGATAGAATTATTCAAAAATATGCCGGTATTGCTGACATCCTACGCCACAAAGTAGTGTGTGTTTACTCTTTTTTATAGGTATAGTAATATAGATTACTATTAACTGTCCACGTATTCCTAACGGTTTTAGATAAATTAATAGATAGTACATCAAGGTGTAATTCCCGCATCAAGGCTAAAGAAGCATTTTATTGTGATTTAATTTATTTGTAGCTATTAGGGCAACACTCACACAAGCATAAGTAAAAGTATTCGGAGATCGTAGTGTGCGTTAACATAACTGATATTTGTTGATACAACTGTTTACTGTTTCAAAGCGCACAACGCATTCAGACGTTGATCGAAAATGTATTGAGAATTGGGCGATGTTAAGTTAATTTTATGTGTAAGATGGTGTAATTTAATTGTGTTACGAAAATGAACTGTATTATTTTTATATCTTTGTTTCTTTGCGCGGTAACACAACTAAGTTTTGGATATGTTCCACAGAAGGTATTTTATTTTATATTTATTAGTAAATTAATTTTTTACTTTACATAATTTTTATGGCATCTATTTGATTACCATTTAAAAATCTAACATTCTTTCTTTATCCAGAAATTATTTGGTATTTTTTTTTTAATTTAAATAAAATGTTAATCGTCAATTTTGGCTGACAATAGTCTACAAGTTTCAGAAATAAAAATACTAAATTTTATCGATTCTTGTTCATTTCAAAATATAGTTCCTCCAAATTCGTATTGCGTTAAATTTACACAGTTGCGATCTAGAATCGACTCGACTCGTTACTTACAATTGTAAAACTTGTAAAATAAATTTGAAATACTCATTCCATTTTCAATAACACAGCAATAAGATTTAAAATTAGCTCGAAGTAATTGAACTATCCAATAGTCTGTGATACATATTTTTATCTTATCGCATAGAAATAAAAAAAAACAAAAGCAAGTAGCAATTTGTTCTTCCAGACTGCTCTACAAATCTGCCGAATTTCATCGAGATCCATACAGCTGTTAGCAAAATCTAACAAACATTCATCCATCCAATCTAACTTTTACATTTATATTTGTAAGATAAGTTGTATTAACAGTCTCTAGTTCTGAATTGGTGTTGACACCGGTCATTTATTTACGTGTAATACGTCAAAATGTTTAAAAACTCTGCACGGAAGCGAACTAAACAATCCGCTAAAACAATGACATCAACATATTGTCATACTATTCAAATCTAATGACTCGCGCACTACAATGCTAATGAACTATGAATTTTTGACTAAACTTTTATTTGTATTGATTAGGATTAGTAGAAACGTGGTCCAGTATCTTATATCTAGTAGCTTTTATCTGCGACTTCATCTACACGGAATTAAAAAAAATATTAGATATAAATGTAGCCTATTTTACTTAGTGATAATATAGCATTCTTGTGGGTAAAGAATTTTTGAAATTGGCTCAACAGTTTACGAGTTCTGTCGTTACATACAAAAATACAAATCTTTCTCATTTTTTTTCTCAAAACAAGAGATGAGAATATTTTTATCGTTTTTCAATAGTTATATGTATGTATAATCTCATATAATTTAACATTTACTTTACATTTTTAACATTCATGAAATATATTATAACATATTTTAGCACGAGTTAATCGCGTACTGAAAACAATTATTTCAGCACGTTATATCAATTTAACGCCACCTGAGGACGTGTTGTAATGGTCAATGCCACAAAATACAATGTGTTTCACACCTTTTCTAAAGAATATTCGACTAATAGGCGTATCTAATTTTTGTACATACGAGGACAGATAATAACAATACTATACTAGTAAGTTGAGAATGAACAAAAAAGTTTAACACGCTAAATTATATCTTAACCTTGATTACAAAGATGTAAGATACGTTTTAGAGTAAGAGCAAATGCACACTTTAGACTAAACAATCGCACAACAGTTGTGCGATTGTCGATTGTTTTGCAACCAATTCAACTGTTCAGTTGCACAACTAAAAACGGAGGAGTGTACGCACCTCCATATAAGCTCATAGGACTGTGCCCGCTTAAACATCTTAGCATGAATGGGCCGGCACGCCCGGTGTAATACCACGACCACACAGAAGACAGGCGTGAAATGGAAGCAATTTCGTGTGATGAGTGTGGTGCCGGAGGCCTAATTTAAGTCCCTTTCTCTTTACCACCCTTTTCTTATAAGGAGAGAATGGGAAGGGGAAGTGGATTTGACGGTGGAGGAGATGCATAGGAAGGGGCAACATCCTCTTTATGTGCGTCCTCCACCTCCGTCGGATAAGGCAACGCATCTGCAATCGCGGATGTCTATGGGCAGCGGTCGCTTCGCCATTTTTTCGGATTCAGGTGGTCGCCTGTTCGTTTGCCACTTTATGTTATAAAAAAAAAATGAAACAGTTGTGCGATAGTTTAGTCAAAGTTTAAGATTTTTTTCTTGGATCAAATCTTCACCTAGAAATAACCCTGACCTACAATATAATAATCAAATGCAAGTCAGTATGTAGAGGTATTTATGTATGTCCAAATGTACGTGTATGTAGGACCTGATTTCACTTGACCAAGGCCTCAATGTACTAGTAAAAGTTGTCCTGTCCCGCCCGGTATACGATTGCCTCTACTATCTATAATATATGATACATATTAAAAATTTTTTTTAATATACGGGGAATGGTCGTAATATAATTTTTTCCAAGGAATCATATATAATAAAGCGTAAATACACACTACTTTGTTTTAACTTGCAATTGATAATTTGACAGATTAAACAATAAAATTGTTCATAATTTGATACGGATAACGCCGCACGGGAACAGCTTAGTTTATAAATGAACAGTAATTGCAATTAAATTATTTTTCCAGCGCCTACTGACAGTATACTACGAAAGCAAGTGTCCGGACAGCAAGAAATTTATACTGGACCAATTACAACCGGCCATCGAACTACTGCATCGATACATCAAGCTCAAACTCATACCGTTTGGAAAGTCTAGGGTAAAATAGCTATATACTTTTATATTTAACTTATTGGTAGTTTTTTTTTAACTAATACATCTCATAATCATTCTGAGATCTATGCTTCCTAGGACAGGTTCACGACTTACTATTAGCGACTTCTGTTCTACTGCTAACTTTCGCCTGCGACTCCGTCCGCGTGAAATTAAAACAAAAGTGCCTATGTGTTCTTACCTACTACCCTCTACATCTATACCAAATTTCATAGAAATCCGTTAAGCCATTTAGGCTACAAACTCTAAAAAATATCCATCCATTCATCTAAACTTTAGTATGATTAGTATGATTTTAAGTTCACATTGGTTATATTTCAGAGTATAAACTACGGCGACGATGGCTTTGAATGCCAGCACGGGCCTGAGGAGTGCCTCGGCAATATAGTACAGGAGTGCGCGCTGCGGCACATGAGAGACCACAACGATGTACAGCGCGTCACCTACGTTGTCTGCGAAATGGCTTCGACGTTCGGCGCTCGCGGCAGTCTATATGTAACTACACTAAATACACCAATATACCTGATTACATTATCACTCTTGAAATATATCTCATTACCTGCGAAAAATACTAAGAATCTAACTGCGGAATCAGAAGTTACTTACTTTTTCACCATCTTGAATCCAGTGTGAATGTGGCATCTTTCGTCATTAATAGCGTTTTTATACTTTCTTTTTATGACGTGAGTTGTAAAGTTGATAAATCGCTATACCATAAAGCTGAAACGGTTCAAAACTTAAGAAATTGAATTTACTAGTATAGGTAATGTCTACTTACAGTGTGTGAAGCACGCGGGGCTGTCGGTGAGCGCGGTGGAGGGCTGCGTGCTGGCGGGCGAGGGCGTGGCGCTACAACTGGACTCTGAGTACCACACTAACAACCTCAAGCCTAAGTTTATACCTACTGTTACCATAGATGGGGTAATTGTATAGATGATAATTTCGTATTTTACATAAAAACTAGTTATTGCTCGCGATGTTGTCCACGTTAATTAAAAAAAAACAGTAAATAATAACGTAGCTTTTTATTGATGAAAGAAGTAATCGGCACAGTAGTTTTTGAGTAATTTTACCTATATTAATATTATAAAGAGGAAAGATTTTTATTTTTGTATGTATTATAATAACTCAAAAACTGCGAGCCCGATTTTAATAATTCTTTTACCATTGGAAAGGTACTTTATCTGTGGTAACATAGATTTATAATTACGCGCGGCCGAAGTCGTAAGCAACATATAAAATAGCTAGTTACGTATAAAAATACAAATCTTTCCTTTTTTTAATATTAGTATAGAAAAGGTTATTACACAATTAGTTTTGACATTGTGTTTTATTTGTAGGTATTTAATCAAGATTTTCAAGATTCTGCAATGACTGATCTAATCGGAACGTTGTGCGCGACTCTCCGCGAGGCGGCGCCCTGTGCGCGGTACTACAACAACCGCGCTTGGGAATATATCTTTCATAATTCAACTTGAAATATATACTTTCTATCTATTGCTAAAAAGTATTTTTATTATCTTACTTCTTACTAATATTATAGCGAAAGTTTAGATGGATGGATGTTTGTTAGTTTGTAGCCTAAACGGCTAAATGGATCTGGATGAAATTTGGCATAGACGTAGAGCTTAGTCTGGAAGAACATAGGCTACTTACTTTTTTTAACTCCACGGGGAGGAAGTCGCGGGCGCAAGCTAGTTATTATTTAAATACCAATCAGCGTGTCGATTGTGTTCAAACGCCACTAGATGTCGCTGTTTTAAGATCATGTAATTAAAATATTTTTATTCTTAACAGACTAAAAAGAAAAAAATGAAATGATTTTTTAATTTTGCATGGTTTTAACATAAAATATCACTTTCAGTTTCTACAATATTTAATTAACAACTAAAGTGAAGCATTTAGGAGGGGGAGTTTTCCACGATCCAGTGGAAGTAGTGTGCGATGTTGGTGTAGACGCTCGGCACGCCCGCGCTGCCGCAGTTCTCTGAACCGAATGATACAATCCCGATCTAAAATAAACGAAAAATTGGTATCTGCGTAGAAATTCAACGATATATGCAAAATTATCCAAAGTGGTGGGGACGTACTGTAAAAGAAAGGGGGTTGTTACTTTTACAGTAGGCTCGAGTTCCAATTGTTTTCAAAAACAATCATCTTTCTCCCTATATCCCGTAGGGTCAACAGAATATTCTTCGTCGTCTAGATAACTCTATCATCCGTCATCTCAGTCATCACTCCCTTCTTGATCATGTCACCTTTAACGCAATCCATCCATCTCATTCTAGGTCTGCCTCTAACGATGTTTTCAAAGACAATGAAAATAATGTTATACTAGTTTGGAACCCAGCTATAGTGCATGAACTCTCAATATGGCAGGAAAAACACTTAAAGAACTTGTAAAAACTAGTTAAAAAAATGGATTTACTTAGGGTTTTTGTCACCTGTATCGATCAATTCTAAATTATGGATTAAGTAGCTAATATAAGAGGAATAATTTATTAGAAAAATCTGGATAAGATAGAAGACTAGCGATTTAAAACACTAAGGGTCTGTTCCCACTGGCTGATACAGGCTGAAATAGCTTAAAAATGACGTCACTGTCAAAGAAGGAACAAAATCCGATATTGTCATCAGACAATTTACAATTTGGTGGGACAGGCCCTCTTCTATTGCACTAGAGGCTAGCCACCGAGGGTTTTAGTGGATTCCCCCCCTTGATGAAAAAGGCCCTAACTATAGGTTTATCATACCTGTAAATATTGTCCATCTCTATGTACTAATAGGGGAGCTCCTCCGAAGCCGGAGCAGGCGTCCCGGCCCTCCTCCCCGCCCGCGCACAGCTGCCCCTCGTGCACCGGCACAGACTCCCCGAAGATACTCTCACACGTCTCCAGAGGGACCAGGGGCACGTCTAATTGCTGTTGTTTGCCCACCTATATATATAATAACAAGTCCACGATAAAAGTTGACTTTTTCACTATAAAAAACATACAGACGAATTTAATACCTCCTTCCTTTTGGGAAGTCGGTCAAAAAAGCACATAACATCATTCATAGTCCGACTTGGTATTATGAAATTGTATCCAAAGCATGGCTTTCTTATAAATAACCCAGCTTTTGTACGCGACTTCGTCCGCGTAGAATTAAAAATAAATTCTACATCTATGGAACATGTCAATGACATCTGTTCAGCACATTACGCTACAAACTCTAACATACATCCATCCAAACTTTCGCATTTATAACATTAGTGAAATTAATATTTTCCAACAAATTTAAATTCCCGATTGAAGGTTTTTTTCACCCTTCTTTATATATGTTGTCCTGCAGCCTAAAAGGCTTGTCTTATTTTGCAATCAGTCGTATCTTTTGATTAATACAATTTCCCAGGGTGTTATAAAAGTATATTCAGGAGGGCTTTTTAATTTTACATGAAATGCTATAGACAAGTATGTGGTTCATAATCGTGGTTATATCTGTCAAAGCATGTTTAATTTTTTTTAAATCATACCATGTTAGTCTGTCCAGATAATTTTCCCCATCCGACGAGCGTTGCGCGTTCATTTATAACTATTTCCGGTTTATCATTCAGGCAGAGCGGAGCGGCTGTCACTGAAAATGTACAATTAGCATCTAGAATACACTGATTTGAATTACCAATTCAAGGTCCTGATGACCTTCATGAACTATTCTTTTGTTATATTAACATTGTAATATTGTTTACTAGCTTTCGACCGCGACTTCGTCCGCGTGGAATAAAAAACAAAAGTGAGTAGTGTGTGTTCTTCCAGACTACTCTCTACGTCTACCAAATTTCATCGAGATCTGTTCAGGCTACAAATGCTAACAAACATCTATGCATCCATGTAAACTATCGCATTTATAATATTAGAAAGAAGTAAGATAAACAAACAATAACTAGATTCATGCGAAAGAATAGTATTGAAATTCGATTATAATCGTTCTATAGACTATTACTAGAAATCTATGGTTTTATTATGTTTGGCAAGCGACCGTGCATGATGGAAGAAGAAACCACGGCGCATATACAAAACTGCCCGGTAGTTACAATACAGGGTTAGGTATCTCGGTTTGCCAAGATCACTCCCGAAGATCATCATCAACTGGCCCTTATCCCTTACGGAGGGTCGGCACAGTATGTGCTGCTCTTCCATACATCTCTATCAGCCGTCATATCTGAATCCACTCCTTTCTTAAGCATATCCTCTTTCACACAATCCATCCATACTTTCCAAAAGATCGCTCCCGGAGATCATAAGCAATAAAGGATTGTTCTTCAACCTGTTCTCAGGCAAAACGCGCTAGGCGTGGAGTTGAGGAAACGAACATGTGTTCAACAAATTAGGGCTGTTTTGTATTGATACCTGAATATTTGATTTCATCTTTGAGCACGATGAGCGCGATGTCGTGTCGGAATATCTTCTGCTCGTAGCCGGGGTGCACAACCACGTTGTCCACCTTCAGCGCCTGCGTCACCGGCGCGCAGAAGTACTCATTACAGTCAGGGCTTCGTGTCGTGTCCCACTCGCCTACCACCACTGTTGATCTGTGTATATATTTTTTAATCTATATAAATACATAATAAAAAAATAAAGATTTGTATTTTTGGATATTTGTATGTAACTGATTCGCGTAAAAACTACTGGGCCGATTTTAAAAATTCTTTTACCATTAGAAAGGTAATTTATCTGTAAGCAACATAGGCTATATCTTTTAATTTCACGCGGGCAACGTCGCGAGCAACAGTTGGTCTATGCTAATATTACGAAGAGGGAAAATTTGTATCTTTGTATGTATTGAAATAACTCAAAAACTACTGGGCCGATTTCAAAAATGTCTACATCATTAAAAAGCTACGTTATCGCTGAGGACAAGCTATATTTTTTTAACTTCATGACATTAACGTATTATATTAAATAACTCACAATTTATATCCTTCAGGCTTAGCGAGCGCGCAATGGGCGGCGGTAAGTACAACTTTCTTGGATATGATTGAACCGCTACATGCGAATCTTACCGAGCCAGTATCTTTGTCTGAAATTAAAAATTTTAAACATTGCAAGCAAACAATCTTCATCAAACCTTTATCAACAGCTTTTTTTAATGTTTTAATTCCAGCTTTAAAATAGTAGGTGAGCCATTAAATTAGTTTTAATTAATTAATACCGACTAGTGAAACCGATCCTAGCAACCCAGGGATGCAGGCCGATGCCTTTGTAGTCATTGGCGCGCACCATGCTTCGGCCGCACTCGGCGGTGTTCGGCGGGTGTACGCGCGAGCACTCGCATGCCGGACAGCACACGAGGTCCTCGTCATTGTTATTGCCGCAAGTCAGAGAATTCAGGCGATGAAAGTATCTAAACAATTACATACAATTTTACTTAAAGGATTATAGAAATATAAAAAAGGGTATAAATGCAATACTAACTTGTCAGAGGAAAAACACGAAAAGTCCATCAGGTCTTCTAACAGTGGACATGAGCTGATTGGAACACATGAAGTGTTCGGTGGACATCGACCCTATAATAATTTGTCATCAATAATTATTATTTAACTTCACTCCAAACATGAAATTAAAAAGTTACATCATACTTTGAAATTTAAAGATTCCTCTTCAGTACGTCCCATGTCCAAGCTGATAGATACAGCTAAAACAGAAAAGAAATTAAATTAACGAGATCCTAGACAACTTTATACTCTATGACAACTTTAAAAAAATCTCTTAATACAGAGCTTGTAGGGATAGCCCACTATCGGACTATAAAAACATGAAATAATCTAATATGGACAATAATCTTAAATTAGTAGTAGCAAATATTATAATTTTAAAAATTCTAAAACCAGTGATATTGGGAACTGTAAATAAATAGGTAGGTACCTCATAATCCGCTTTACATGGTTTTAACATTTTTTCTAAGATTACTCGTATTTGTACCATATTATTGCATTAATATTTACGGTGTGTAAATTATCATTTCAAACTCTATATCACGTTTGATTGTAATTTGTAATGACCTCGAAATTAGATAAAATCAGTTCGCCGGCAAGGCCGCTTCTGTCCTGTATTGTATCATCGTTGTGATCACCGATTATTAAATCTAGATGCACGATGTATGATTTTTCTATGTCAAGCTCTGATTATTAAAGCATCAGTACATACTGATGTATACATATACAGCCTTTCAAAGACTTTTGCGATGGAACTGATTTATTTATTTATGGCGATATTTTTAATTCTGTTGTAAATTTTTAATATGTTTCTTCAGTACCTTCTATTAAAATTAATCAAAAATTTTTACAAGTAATTTTAGGTTTCTTCTTCCCTACCCAACTTTTTTTACAAGGAAAGGGTGGGTAGGGGAAGTGGATTTGGCGGAGGACTTATAGAAAGGAAAACACCGTCTTTCGTTGAGCCTCTTTCTCTGTTTATAATGGGTAATGCATCTGCAATTTCGGATGTCTACAAGCAACGGTCGCTTCGCTATTTTATGGATTTCAATTGTCACATTATAAGGTGAGCAAACGGCCTTATCGTATAATATAATAAAAAATACTATTGTTTAATTCCTAAACAATGCGCTTAAAAAAATAAAACACATCAACTTAAAATTGTTTACAAAAACTTACTTCCAAATTGAGCGTCAACAGTCCACCAAACAAATACAATCCATAGTAACGCTTTACACGCAGTCATTTTTGTTTTTATGTCGGTTTAACACTATTTAATCACAATTCATCATCAACTTTTTAACAGGAATTTAAGGTAATTCGAACTTCATACTCTCATCTTGTAGAAAAACTGCGAGTGCGCCGGCGCTCGTATCAAAAGTGATACAATACAAAGCCTTTGCTCGCACTGCCGTGACTCAGGGGTCACAAACATATCAGGACGACTGATTTTATTTTGATTTGTTTTTTTTTTTATCGCATTAAATAAGGATCAATGAATGCGGCAATCAAACTACAATAAATTAGACGTAATTCAACCATATAATTGGGCACACTTATCTGAATTTATCTAAATGCATTTTATTTTAATATTTAGATACGTATTATGGCAAGTGTGTTGTTGTGATTTTGCATTTAAATGACAATAATCTAGGTTAATCTATACTTACTATGATAATAAAGCGTTAACACAAACTTTTTTGTTGCCTAAGACGTCAGCAATTTTGAATAACTCTTTTTTAATAAAAAGCCCTATACTTAAATCTCGCTTTAGGCTACATATTTTTAAGCCATTAAACTTAGGGGGTAAATATTTTGGATAAAAACCCTAACGTGGGAAAGAGACCATAAGTTGCTGCCAACATCAAGGATGCAAGATTGCCAAGTTTTGTCATGTAATATCATTTTGACATTTGCAATTGACAATTTGACACATGTAAACAATCAAATAATTTTATGCTGATGAAATCGCACGGGAACAGCTAGTGGGTTATAAATTGTTTGTGATCTCTGTATCAATGTGAATTAACTGGACAAAATGTGGCGTTTCATTAATTCAGGTATTTACAATCGTTGCAGTAACATCCTGCAGAAAAGTGACATTATTTTTTTTAATTATCAAAATGTAATTCTGGTTCCAGTTTTAAGTAATTTTACAATAAATGTGGTACAAATAGAAATTGTTTACTTTCTATATAAAAATAATAATATGCGGTTCAACTTTTGTTTGTGAAATAAACATTGCGACAAAGAAAATTAACAGATATAACTCCAAAAGTCAATGTAACTCCAACTTAAAAATGAACATTGCAACAAAGAAAATTAACAGATATAACCCTAAAAGTCAATGTAACTCCAACTTAAACAACTTTTATATTTCTAACACCGACCGATATTGACTGTACTTCATCTAGCATACAATAACATCAATTTATTTTTTCTAATACCTTACGTTCGGTTCCACACTTACCTAATTAATTTCTGTATCACGAGTTTGGGATTACTGTCTATCTGTATGTTTTAGCTCTCTTTTGGTTCATTCAATTTATTAACTTGGACAAGGTAAAAGTAAGTCAGGTAAAGTAGGTTGTATAAGTAAGATATAACTTTGTATTAAATACCTAATAGACATACTGATCGAGTATATTTATAAGATGGCTTGTATTCATAAAGAAAAATTAAAAAAAAAATGCTTTTAAATTGTTTGGTCATCATCATCATCTACCCTGCCTTATCCTACTCCCGTGGGGTCGGCTCGCCGGGTTTTCGTCCTCCAAATAACTCTATCATTCGTCATCTTATTACTTCCTTCATGAACATGTCTCCTTTCACGTCATTCATCCATCTCTTTCTAGGTCTACCTCTATCGTGTACCCCTCCACATTCATAACTAACGTCCTTTTTATTACATGCGAATTATCCCGTCTCATAACTTTTAAGTTATTTGGTATAATACCAATATTTATAAAACAATGAAAGCCGTAAGATAAAATATCTAGCACAAAATAATAGGAAATGTTTTAATTAATTTGTAATTAATTTTATACCTTTTGTAGATTGACCGATAGACATGCAAAAAAAAAGTGCGGCGCGTCAGATTCAACGCGGACCAAACGAACCGTGTCCGTCTAATCTTTGTGAAAATCTCTTTTTATATTGTTATTCCTTTGTTAGTTGAGCTTTTTGTCCGGTCTGATGTCATTCACATCACTTGCCTGTACCGGTCTATCTTAAATGGTACAATTTATTATGTGCGAGCTATAAATAACATACGATTCATGTATATGATTAATCTGAGATAATACAGACTTACACCTGTTTCTACTTTAATTCTCATTCGTATAAAGACAAACTGACAATGTCATATCTTACTAATATTTTTTTATATACGAAAGTTTAGATGGATGGATGTTTGGTAGTGTGCCTAAACGACTGAAAGGATCTCGATGTAATTTGCCATAGATGTAGCGTGTGAAAGAACACATAGGCTACTTACTTTTGTTTTTATTTTAATTCCATGTGGAATTCGCGGTTGAAAACTAGTTGTAAGACATTTTAGGATGCAGTTTTAATTGCATGTATCCCTAAAACGAATTTAGTATCTCACGTTATCCTGAAGTCAGATTAACTAAATAAAATTATATCCGTACTAAAGTTAAAAGGTGTTATCTAACACACCGTGACGATGTTAACATAATTCTATGTGACAGTTCAAGGCAATAACCAAACTAATAGTACCAAACTAAACTCATAGCCCATGGTTTAAAATGATACGTAATTACAAATAGTGACTTATATTTAAATTGACTCCACAACTAACAAATAAGTAGGAAGGTTTTTGGAAAAGTAATATACACTGTTTAAATATATTGTAAGCTCCCTATCCCTCATATATTACGTGTATCATTAAAGGAAACATTCTCATAGAAATAATTAAATCTTTGTTCAGAATGAGTTTCAGTATAAAGATAAGGAATTGTTACAATGAAACACTTTCTATCTAGAAAAATAATAACTGCTATAGAAAGACAATTAAAAAGAAAATCATAATGACAAATGGGTTTCAAACAATCAAATAATTTTATGAAGCGTCAAAACAACACCATGTAAAGAAATCATTGAAAATAATTGTTTTTTCTGTACATTACACCATCAAACGCTTTTAACATGTCGCTACCGACATTTTTGCCTTTCCTTGGAAAATAAAATCATAATAAACACTTCAACATGGATCCAGTAAGACAGAAGTATAATAGGAAAGAAAAAACCAGTTCCAGCCAAGCTCAACACAATAAAATGGTACCACATAAACCCTCCGTACAAAAACCGATTTGCACTTATATGTGCCAAATGAATCGTGTCAAGCCATCTTCCGACCAGGACAGAGTCCTCAAAGGCTGCTACGTAAGACCATCACGCGAACTTATTGAACAAGTAAGTGGAATGCTTAGTAAAATAAAAAAAATCAGAATAACTCACCCGATGTTAAGTTACTGAAAACTAACTTTCGTCCGCGTGAAAATAAAAAAAAACGAAAGTGAGTACCCTATGTGTTCTTCCAGACTATCCTCTACATCTATACCAAATTTCATCTAATTCATTCAGCAGTTTAGACTACAAACTCTAACAAACATCCATCCATGCATCCATCTAAACTTTCACATTTATAATATTAGTATCGTCTGTCTGTCGTCTGTCAAAGTTTCGTCTGAATACTCAATAATAGTTATGTTTCGTGAGCAATATGTAAATGTTTAAAATTGATTTCAGGTAATGGAGGATGAACCAAAACTAGTTGAGAGAACACAAGGGTTACGTGATAGTTTAGATTCAACTAATGCCTGCCAAACGGAATGCCACAGAGAGGCTGATTTATCAACAGGATACGTAAGCATTTTAACCCTGTATTATGAACCACAAATCATTTTTAAGTCATGCTTCTTACTAATATTATAAAAGCGAAAGTTTAGATGGATGGATGTTTGTTAGTTTGTAGTCTAAACGGCTGAACAGATGTCGACAAAATTTTGGCATAGATGTACAGTTAGTCTGGAAGAACACATAGACTATTTACTTTTCTTTTTAATTCCACGCGGATGGAAACTAGTATTTTAACATTGACAATAAATTTCTAGGCCTCGACAACAACGTTAGATAACAGCGAATTTACCGACGAAACTTCTGCTGATGAAGGCGACAATCCTAATTTGTTACATTTGACAAAAATGAAATGGCTCACTGATAGTCAAACAGAGTCTACAGATTCCAGGTTCGTAAAATTTACTATCAAAATTACTGTCATAAGTTCAACAAATACAGGTCTGGTATCGTTCCAGAATTGTTAACGCGTTAACAGGAGCGAAGGTAAGGATTAACAGGAAACGACATCGTGACGATTTCAAGAGACTATGAAGGTATATGTTATTTGAATGTTGTTTTTCTATGCCAGGAAAGTCGACTTACTATTGCACTAAGGGTCGTTTGTCATTTTAGCAGTCGCTTATTGTAGATTTCTCATACTAAATCTACAACAGTGTCTCCCTTAGCAACCAAACAACCCTTAGTGCGGTAGTTAGCGATATAAATACAATGAGTTTGTTTGTTGTAGATCAAGTACACCTAGTATATCTCGGAGTGTGTCGTTTGCCGTACCTGATTCGAGCGATTCTGAAGGAGATATGAGGGGATGCCGCAGCTTTGGGGAGAAGTGCCTCTCGACGATTTTACGTCTGGACAAGGAGCACAATATGTTTGGATTATCCAATATTACGATTAATTCGAAAGTGTTGAAAAAATACCGTAAAGGCGAAAACAACCCGGCATTTCCTCAAACAACTATAATTCAATTGCTTAGTTGTGGACAACAATGTTGTCACAAGGTATTCTATTCTATTCTAAAAAAATCTTGACAAGTTTTTGATTACATTAAGACTGGGGGTCTTAATGTATCCTTAAAATTAATTGACCAATTTATTTTTCAGAGTAATACTGATTTGCCGATGTCACTCAAGGTATTATACAAATTTCAATACATCCTTGTAACTCTTTGGATATGAACATCGATGTCTTGAAACTATATTTGTTGCAGTGCGGGAGGTGTTACAGTTGCACTGATCCATTCTGTACTTCATGCAAGTCATGTGGGACAGTGTGTTCTTTACCGTGCGCGCTGCCCTGTGTAGTTCCTGCGCGACCTTGCAAACCTATTACTTGCCCTAAGCCGTGTTTAAGAATAACGCCATGTGGATCACCATGCGGCAGACGTTGCAGAAGCCCACCTATATCGCCATGCAAAAGCCCATGTTCCCCTCCATGCAGAAGTCCATGCAGATCTCCATGTAGATCTCCATGCACATATCCATGCGTTAGGCAGCCCAAAATACCCTTCCTTAAGCCAACGCCTTGCCAAATACCTTGTGGGACGTGCTGTGTGAGTTTTTCTTTATTTATTAAAACTGAATAAGATAAATAGAATGCGACATATTACTGAATTTTGCCTGGAACTAACCCCTAATCAGATAATCTTGGGATACATTCTAATCTTTAAGATAGACTTGAAAAAGTTACGTTATAAAATTAACTATATTGATTTTGTTCCAGGACAATCCACCATGCACAATTTGCGTAAGACACTAACTATACCAAATTTTTAATAAAATGTAATTTAATACCTATAAATACACTAGTTTTTTTTACAGTGCATTAAGGGCAAACTCAAGTGCAAGGTAAATTTTAAACACATATGATGAGATTTCTTAATTTAATAAAAACATAATGTAATAACCATTACGTTTTTACATTCGCAGCGAGTGCCCTGTGCGAAACCAAAATGCTTGATGGATTGTAGTACTCGATTTGGCATGAAGGTAAGGATTTTTTCAAAATGCTTAATAAATTCTCAAAAGTAACACAATTAAAAAGTAGTTTCAAAATAGAATTTTACTTTACGTTAAAGAAAGAAGTTTGATCTTCTCTGGGTTAGATTGTGTACAGCTACTTTACACTAAATTAACTGCTTTACTATTTTTGTATTTTTTTATAAGGAGCTAAGAACTTGATATCGGAGATTCTGTCACATCATCATCATCCACTTGCCCTTATCCCTTACGGAGAGTCGGCACAGTATGTCCTGCTCTGAATCCACTCCTTCCTTAAACATATCCTCTTTCACACAATCCATCCATACTATCTTCGGTCTTCCTCTTCCTTTGTAACCTTAGATTCTGTCACGATGTAGCTAATATCTAAATTACCTCTACAGATCGCATTAAAAAGAAAACCGACGTTTGAACCGTCTCCGGTAAGTGAACTGTTGTCTTTATATTTCGTAAATTGTAAAAGTGCATAAAATTGAAAAAGTTCAGTAACGAAATTAACAACTAGCTTATAATAAATATGTCGTTAAGGCAAATTAGTATACAGTAATTTAATAACTTAATTTAGATTATTCATTTTTAACAGATCGAGATAACGCCACGGTCCAGTTGTATTTTAAAGAAGGCAAGTATTAAAATTAGCTTATTTAGCTTTAAAAAAGTTATTTTTGTGATTTTTTTGGTCGGCTGCGTTTAGAGGAGATGCAAATTAGAACGTCTTTGCAATTAACTTAAATAAAAATAAAATTATCTCACCAGCCTATAGCTGCCAGGTCCTGCCATCACTTGCCGCGTTGCTCACCGCCATCTTCCTGCTTCCCGTACCTCATGCCTTGCTTCTGGCCACCTCGAGCGAGCGCGCCGTGTAACAATCCCTCCCGATGCTTCCACAACCCGCCTTGTCTAGCGCCACGCATTAGAAAGTCACCAATACCTCCGCAGTATCTATGCTCCCGCGTAAGTATCGAAATTATTTTCGTTTCCTTTTTTATATGTACCTCTCGCATGTTTTTGGTTAGAACTAGGCAGGTCAGTTAAAACTACAGGCAAACCCTAGCGTGTGTGACAAGTGTAGGCATGGTTGCACATGCAAGGTTAAAACCATCATGCAAAATCTAAATGGAGTGGCCCACATTGTATATTGTGTACATTGTTGGACTACGTGTTAAATTAGTACTTAATTACTATTATTTGAGAAGATTTTCATATTACAATTGTGAAAGATTTATTTTATGAATTACTTTTTCCAGGATAAGAAGTGTCTGAGTAGTAAAACTGCGATATGTCCTAATCCGAAGTGTCCTGGGGTAATATTAGTGAAATTTTTTTTTTTAAATATTAATGTACAGTGAGGTAATTAATACTGAGCAATTAACATTTCAGAAAAATGAAACATTCAAAGCGGAGATAGAGAAAAGATTTGGAAAAGGCGTATAAGGAATAATGGCCGATTCCAATGATCCCAAGAACCCCAAAAAATCTAAGAACCCACATTGCTCTTGTTCGTGTGAAAAGGTTAGACTAATTAAATTTAATTAGTCTAACGAGTGTCAGTCGAAACTACAAACATATAGTCATCTCTTTCATTCTCATTGCAAAACTGACATAACATTACTTTATTCGTTTTCAGAAAGTTGAAACTCCATGCGATGAATTCATTTTCTACCCAAACATTAAGAGGAAAGCTGTTAGTAATTTTTACCTTATTTTCTATAATTTGTATTTCATTTAAACTTTTTTTAAATTCACTAGAAAAAGAAGCTGATTAAATGCGAGTGCTCTTCTCCTGGCTGTTCTAGTTGCTTTGTCTCAAAACCAAAGGTAATTTTTGTACTAACACTATAAAAAGGAAATGTCAGTATTTTTTTTGTATGTTCTGAAATAACTCAAAAATTACTGGGTAGATTTCAAAATTTCTTGCACTACTAAAAAGTTACGTAACCTGAGTAACATAGGCTGCTTTATACTTTATTTCCACGCAGACGAAGTCGTGAGCAACAACTACTATTTTTATATTGTGTTTGAACAGAAATCGCAACTAGTTTGAATTTAAAAATGTAATTTCTTATGTTTCAGGCTACACTAATACCAATGAAACCACAATAGAAATTGATGAGGAGATTGAAAAAATGTTTAGCGACCTGTTAAAGGCAAGACAATGTTTGTCAATCATAATCTCAATTTGTAATTGAAATTGTAGTAAGCCAATAAAAAATATTCAATATAAAATTACAAAAAACCAATTCTGTTATTTTCATTTCTCCAATAACTTTTCGAATTTGACACAAAAACAAATTTGTCCGTTATTTCCACACAAATAAAACAATAAAGACGAGTTATTTAATAAAAAATATACTTTACCAGCCTCTACAAACACTAAACCTTTGTTTGCAAAGCTTGTGAGGTGTCATACCGTGGATCAATTGGTCTATGACAATGCAAGGCTTTGTGCCCTGAGAGATATGACAATAGTCGCTACAATACATAAACGGAGCGATGTTCGTCTGATACGGGTTCGGAGGGAAGGGAGCCAGGAAGTATTCCTCCCCATGACTCCAAGATGCGAGTTCTGATGCAAACGGCGGCGTGTATTGCTTCTTTGTTTCTGACTGAAAGACCCTGAGATAATAAAAAGTTAAATATTGATAATTGTGGAATTAAATTGATGCATTGAATGTGGCTGAGATGCGTATGTTAAGATGGATGTGTGGTATGACAAGAAGGGATACAGTTAAGAATGTGTATATTGGAAGAAGCTTGAAAGTAGCGCCAGTGGTCGAGAAATTGAGAAACAAAAGATTAGCGTGTTATGTAATGCAACGAGAGGATTGGGACATTAACCCGAAACTGTTAAGATTGAATATGGATGGCTGCAAAGGTAGAAGGATACCGAAGAAAATATGAATAGATTGTGGTCATGAAAGAGGATATGCTTAAGGGCGTGGATTCCGATATAATGGCTTATAGAAGTGTATGGAAGAGCACATACTGTACCAACCTTCCGTAGGGACTAGGGATATATGAATTGTTTGATGACAAAAATCTTACCCTTTGAGGTTATTAACCGGGTTGTGACATGCGGCGACTTCATGGTACTCCTTTTTGACGTGACTTCTGTCGTATATAGCTCTGTGAACTTTAGCCTTTAATGGCATCCATATCTCTTTATACTTCGGCCCGAATCCTCTAACCTGGGTATATCCATTAAGATCAGAAACTGGTACCAACGAATTCAACTACACAAGGACGCGGTCTTAACAGGCAAGTGAGCAATCTACATACTAGTTTACTTAGGAAACCTATAACATTACTTTAGGAGTGTTAGACTCTGTGTAGAAGGTTATATGGTCCTTCGCGCCGATCCCGTACTGGTCATCCGGTGTGTACAGTCGATGCTTCGTGCGGTAGGTGGTCACATACGGGTCCATCAAACGACGGAAACCACCAGCGGTCTCTGGTATCACCGGCGCTTCACTCCTACCAGAGGCAACCACCTTGAACACAAATTAATATACCATTTAGATTACTAATCAGTCGTTAAATGCTGATGGTAATTGACGCTTACGTCAAAAATGTATTCAGGATCAGGAGCTTTGACTTCGATTTCGGGCGGCGCTAGTGGTGACTTCGTGAGACCTCGGTAGTTATCCTTCATCTCTGATATCAATCTTGGTTGAACAATATTCTTGCTTTGGAGCTGAAAACGTTTACAATGTAGCAGAGCAATCAAAAATCACAAATCTTAGTTCACTTAGTAGTAGCTAATACTTACTCGTTTCTCAACACCAGTCATATAAATGACTCTTTTACAGTTACATGCGCAGTCCGATCTTTCCATAGCTTTGTTAGGATTGGGCTTAACGCAGTATTCGCCGGTGGTGGTCTTGTAAGACTCTTTCTCCACCACCATATCCCTGCCGGTAACGCGCTTTGGAAGAGGGTCATGGATTTTCTATAAAGAAAAAAAAATGAACACTGTATAAAAGCAACGCCGGCCAGCAAATGTCTACATAATGAAGAAGTCTACTACGATCCCGTAAATTTCAATTTTTTTCAGTAGACCACAGCGGCATATATGTTCAGTTTAATATAGTCTCATTATACATATTGTTTTTTTCTTCTTCTAAATATTTAAAGCAACTTACACAGTCAAAGTTGTGTGGAATATCAGGAATATGCCGTAAGGCAATATTGGTGCCTGTTCGAGTCTCATTGCTGGTCACTCTCAGTGGAATATTGTATTGAACGTTTCCCCATGTGTTGACATTTTGTATAAGCAGTTCATTCAAAACTAGTGGCTTACATGGCTTTGTTTTAGCCATTTTAAAATTATATTAAAATATAGGAGTTCTAAAAAAATATTGTTGATTTTGATGTGTGTTAATTTGACGTTGTGTCATTGTTACATTACCACAGAAAGTATAATTTTGAGATTTTATACTTTTAAGATCTCTGTTATCTGTGACATACTTTAAATATAAAAAAATGTAAAAAAGCGTCATTTTTTGAAATCCTTATATGGGCATCCAATATTTTTCATTTCAATGCATAATGCGCCAAATCCTTTCGATTTACACATCATTTGCAACTTCCGTGTAAAAAATATAATTTAAGTCTGAAATGGCAGACCTGCTTGAAATGAAAACCTTTTGTTTACCTTTTTAAAGGTAACTGCTAAAAGGCAATTTGGAATACTATTCTGCCTTCAATAGCTAAAGCAGTTTATTCCTAATTATTGTGTTTGTTCCCAAACGACAATAGTAGGCTCATTGTTAACATATACACATTGAGAATACATATATAATTTATTCTGCAACAAAAAAATATTTTCCAAACAATTAAAAACGAACATTTTAATAGATTGCATTAAGCATTTTAATTATACTCCTCTTGCGTTTGAAAACAGGGTTAGTTTGCACATCGTGCGTGTACTCTGCCTGGTGCCAGGGCTGCAGGTACACCGGGAGCAAGGCCTCGTGCTCGCTCAGCCACTCCATCACGTAGTCTATGATCGCCTCCACATGCGGAGACGATTCGAATACAGAACGCATCTCTGATTTTAACGTTTCTGTGCAAGACTGCAAAAGATGGCGAATAATTCAACTTAAGATAATTGATACTAAATATTAGTGATTTATTTATATAATAGTAAAATGTCATTTACGCTATTTCAAATAATCTTTGATGTTTTTTTTTAGTATTTAAATCAATTTTACTTAAGGAATTTTCTATTTTAAATCACAATTTACCGTGCTACTAAGTCTTTCAGCCGCTGAATAGAGAGCTTCTTTCAGAGTTTTTCCTTGTCGCTGACCCTAAGAAAACATTAATTATGATGAGAAAAAAATATTAGATACTAATGTTTTTTGTATCAATTGCATATTACCTTCGGCAATAGCTCTTTGACTATTGCAAATAGTTCTTCACTTTTATCGTGATAAAGAAAGTAAGCCCAGGGAGAACGAAAAAATGAGTATAGGTTATCCAATTTTTTTGCCTAAGAAAGGAAATATAAGCTAAAAAATTTAAATTATACAAAAAAGTACGGACATCTTTATACTTGACATTCTTACAGTGTATCTTAACAGAACATTATTCAGTACTACAGAAGATCGTCCATAGAGTCTGACAAAGTTTTCCAACGGCCGTTTGTCCGGTGTGAGACAAGTAATGCCGTCTACAATAAAATCGTTGTTGAAATGCAATTTAAAATATCCTTCTTTAAATGTTTCTAGAACTTGGCCCTTAAAGCAAAAACTAATGTAAATTATTGAAACAGTTAATAGTACATATCCATTAACGTTTTATGGCAATTGAAATTATTGTTCATGTTTTTTAATTACATTTATAATTATAACATCGTGCGGTTTTAATATATTTTGGTTAATAATTGCAATTACTTTCTTCATTATGCTAAATTGTTTTACAATGTAAAATCACGTTAAAATAACGATCAAACTTGACTAGGAATCCTAGCTATAACAAAGGATATAAGGACGATAATCTCATTGGTCTGAATTAAATAATATTTACATTATAATGCAAGGATTGTAAGTATTGGCATGGTATCTTCTTGCCCGGCGAGCGCACCTCCAAGTACTGAAGGCCGCCGGGTAGGTTGCAGTACATTACCCGTGGCTCCTTAAATTCTGGTAATTTCGTTTTTGATTCAAACTCATTCCTACAATTATAATAATGAATATATTTGCCGAGTTAACGTCAGACGATTTTTCGAAGAATTAAGGAGTAAATGGTTAGCATGGTATATGCATGTTATGAAGGATGAATCACATGTAACAAGAAGAACGTTAGTTATTATGGAAGGGGTACACTGGTAGAGGTAGACCTAGAAAGATGTGGATGGATTGTGTAAAAGGTGACATATCCCTATTCGTCCCTTCTTGATATCCCTATCGGTCTGAATGATAGGGTGGACGATCCTATGGATTAGGATAAAAGGGAGAAATTGATGATCTTTTAAAATGCTATTCCGTTAGTATAAATTCAGTTCATAAAATACTGCATCTCAAAAATCATTGAATACTTACGACGATACAGATGTTGACTCCTGATTGCTACTGCTAAATGTAGAACCAGAGTCTTCGATGTTATTCTCTGTTCGTTTGACATATTTGTCCGTGTCGACAAACAGTGGGTCCAATTGATTCCGGATTTGGTTTCCTAACTGTAATTAATATAAAATAGTTATATAATAACAATCCTACCGACTCCATTGGCAAGATGACTTTGAAAAAGAAAACTTTGTTAATAAAAAGATTCATGTAACTTATTCTTTTCTCATTTCGCCGATTTATTCTTTCTTCTTTGGCTTTATTCCTAGTCACCAGCTAGCTGTAGGTAAATGCAAGTAAAGTATTTACCTTGGTGCCAACTTCATAAGAATCGTAGTACCTCTGCTGTTTGTCATCCGCATAGTAGTTACTATTATACCTAGTGGCAGGCCCTGCAGCGTATATAGAAGCATCTCTTGTTCTGAACTTATGGTCTATCAGAATACCTTCGTTATACGCTATACCACTTTTATTTATAGCTGAAATGAACCTAAATTTAACCGCGAGTTTCCACTGTTAAAAAAAAACATAATTCTCATATTAAGTAACGAACAATACATGTGTTTTGTATCCGTTTTGGCTATGTAAGCCTACGGTTCAACTGGTTTGTATGCAACCTTACCAACAAAGGCATCTTCATCAACTCCTTTTTTCCCGTAATAAAAGAATGCGGAACACGCTATTTGGATCATCTTGAACTGAGACATGAAGGTAACTGAGGTCACCGCGTGCTCAAAGTCACAGCTCCAAGATTCAAAGTAGTACGAACTGTATGTTTTGATGTTTAAATTCTTCAACATATCATTAACAGTACGATCAACCTGAAGACGAAGTATAGGCATCACAAAAAAATTAAGTCACTCAGACTAAATTTGAGAGAAATTCAGATTGTAAATCCATGGTTGTAATATAAAGAGGGAAGATTTGTATTTTTGTATGCATTGAAATAATTCAAAAACTACTGGACCGATTTTACCATTAGAAAGGTAATTTATCTGGGAGCAACATAGGCTATATTTTTTAACCTATGCGGAAGAAGTCGCGAACAACAGCTAGTTCTATACTAACATATACGTTTGAAAATACAGATATTCTAGGTTTTCTAGGGTCCTCCGAGGGGAATGGTTCTACGAACACAATGTTGTGATTTGGCACTCCCATTTGCAGCATTGTTGATAGACAACAGTACGCGTGTATAGTAGCTCCATACACGACAATACAATCTGGAAAAGAATTTAACTAAAAGAGAACTCACACTACTAAAAAGTTAACGAAATCAGCAAAAAATGTAAGACTGGAACGAATTAATAACGGTAGTGATATTTCATTCGCAAAACTTGAATGATGTTTTTTTATTACGCAATGACATTAAGTTAATTCTAGGAACATTTTTTGTATATCTTGAAACCACCTTACATTTACAAAGTTGATAACAGTTTCATTGAACCGATAGATCATATTTGATCGACGCAAAAACACTTTTTTTTGCCCTCCAACGCAATTTAAACATAGAAATATGATTATTTGCAATACGTACACGGTTCAAAGTACATCAAATTGTTTTTGATATATTTCAAAGCTTTATTTGCGTCCGAAAGGTTGTTTATAATGAAAACATTTTCAGGTAATCTCTTGCTAAAATATCTTTCTCTGGCACATATCGGAATATCCAGTGGTGTGTAGATTGGAACTAGACCTTTGCTAAAAAATAGACAAACGATGCCAATGTAATTAAAATAAATATGATAATCGAGATACATTATTTACTATTAGTCTATTTTCGACTTACTTCATTTTATCCTCTTTGTCTAATATAGTCTTCATGTAATTAGGATGTTGGTATTGTTTTCCGAACAATAAGAAAAGTAAGTCGTAGTAATATTTATTACCATTTGTTAATTTAACGTACTTGGCACGTCTGAAAAACACGATTGGACCATTAAAAGCCTTGATCCTGCGGTGTCCATTTTTAGGAATTGCTTGAATCTCAAATAGGAAAGTTCCTTTAATAAAATATTTACCCTTCATAATACAGTTGTCTTTAACAAAATTGACGATGGACACCAATGGCAGTAAGGGACCCAGAAAAAAGCGGGGGAAAAAGACTATTTTGTTTACGTCAATACCTGTGAATTTCAGTCAACGTCCCCTGTATAATATTCACATAGTAAGAATAAGGCACACTCTTGAGATATCTATCGGTGTTTGTGCGGCATTTCAGGAACATGTTTTCCACGAGTGTTTTAGAATGCCGTACGTAAGGCAATCCGCTTGGAGATATTAATGTTACATTCGTAAATGTTAAATATGTACAAGAATCACTGTAACACAATAAAGACAATATAATAAGACTAATAATTGATTATAACCTCAAAATACAAAAGTGGGTTGATAGTGAACACCCACCATTATGTTGGATGTTTTATGTTAAGTGACACAAAGGGGCGAGTAAAATGGCTTTAGGATATTAAAGAACATACCTAAATAGCAAGGCATTGAGAAATGCCATAGTAGTTCTCGATGCGCCAACTATCACGATTCTAGTATCGATGTTCGCTTTTGGTACAGTTGTAAACTTTTTACTGATAAACCAAGTACTAAATGCTTCCCTGTGAACACAAATTTATGCACACTAAGTGTAAAATTATATTTTCATACAAACACAATTGATTGAGATAGCTAAAAGATAATCAATTACAACATATGTAATATAAGATACATACAAACTATTAGGAATTGTACTCATTTCCTTGATCTCTGGTATAGATACGCAATCCACCTCAGATTCCCTAGGTACTAAAGGTATCATCGCAGATGCCAGGGTGTTAGCTTTATGGGCCACCTGAATACAACCATAAACAATAATATAAGAAGCATAAAAAAAATGAATTTCCATCGGAAGACCGTTATTATTGCTATACCTAATATTAATAATATAAATGCGAAAAATTGTATGAATGCATATTTATTTCAACGTATTTTCAAAATAGCTCAAAGGATCTGTAGAATAATAAATTATGTTTGGAAAAACACACAGGCTGCTATTTTTAATTCTGCGGAGGCGGAATCGCGGGTAAGAGTTAGTTTTAAGTAGAAACGTAATCGCTACGGACACACATGTCTCTGTCATTGTTCTTGAAAAAACTGAGATAACAATACGTCATGATACACTGTACATAAATGTAATGTTGTATATGATTTTGTAGTAGCACAAATATTAACCCATTTGTTCCGATATGCAGTCATCCAAACCAAAGTCGTACATTCCGACAGTCTCATCATTTCCCGAGCAAAGAATCTAAAATGTGCTTCAAATACTGGGTAAATGAGGACCGTTTTTAATGCACTGAAACCAGCGAAAACGCCATTCGATATATAATGATATTTTTGTATACGATATGAATCGAAATTATATTTATTCTGTATGTAATCTATTTGCTCCGCTTTCCTGGAATAAAAGTGTAACGTAAGTTTCTAGAAACATCTGTCTAAAACATTCTCAGATCACAGTAAAATAATGTAAGAGAGTAAAAATATTTTTATATAAATATCCATCAGCATATTGTAAAATATATTTTTTTACAAATATAAATAGTTAGCAGAATACATATAATTATAAAGATCTACTTACTCTAAAATTCCAAGTCCTAGTAACGAACAGCCACACAATAGCACAAATATGCTTTCGTTTCTTTTATGTACCGTATTCTCTACAGTCCACATTGTCTCCTTTACATCTAATGTATTGAGAAGTTGGGCTATCAGAGGTACATCTATCAGCTCTGCTTTGCGTACACGTAGTTTACTAAAATGTTTATTACAACTGATTATCTTCTTTGTCCTTATCCTACTCCCGTAGGGTCGGCGCAACAGGTTTTTGTCCTCTACATAACTCTACCATACGTCATCTCAGTCATCACTCCCTTCTTGATCATGTCACCTTTCATCTCTTTTTACCTCTACCTCTACCGGCGTATTCTTCCACTCCATTCCTTAATGTTTATTACAACCGATGTCAAATAAATATTCTAAAAAATTTTTTTATTAGTGAAGTCCAGGCTTTATCTAGAATCTTACCCTAGGATCGCATTTCTATGTGCTATGTACAATGCATATTTACTGCATACATTCGGCTTCGCTGGGATAGACTGAAAATTAAAAGTAACAAAAATAAAAAATAATAATACATAGGTTATTAATAGGTTGGTAATATCGATATAGTTGTTCAACTAACACAAAAATGTTGTAAAAGGGGATAACTTTTTTCAGTACACGGCATACGAAGAATGCAATAGTCATAATCTTTCATAGCTTCAAAAGCGGCTTCAAGGAAATCGAATGACTGCCTGTAAATAATAAGACAATACAACACTCTTAAATAGGATATTAGAAGGGACTGAATTCATATATGACGGATAATACAGATGTATAGAGCAGCACATGCTTTGACCTTCCGTAGGGACAAAAGCATGTTATGGATAAGATAAAACTCTTTGTAATAATGATCAATGTTTACTTAATTATTTAAATTCAATAATTACTTATAGTCAACATCTTCACGACATCCAAAAAGTTCAATTATAAATGCATTTGGTTCTCCTGAGTAATTATATTTACTCGTCTCTTCTTGTTTCTTTGCCATTACTGAAGTTCTTCCTAGAAATAATAAAATTACTAAATCTTATCTACGTTAGAAATGTAAACGATACTAAAAGTGCAATATTCTGATGTTATTTTTTTAACTAAGGCAAAAATGAACCGACTATGTCATCTATGTACGTATTATAAAACATACTTTTTAATTTTGTCTCAAACTCTGTTAATGTGGATTGTCTGTCACTCTGTGATTTTGGCCTGAAAAGAAATTATCTCGTAATTTGGTTATCTCTATATAATTTACTGTTTTTTGTTATTAGTAAATCCGTAAAATAATTACAAGTTTATTGTCTATGGTAAACAAAACTTTGCTTTATAGTTAAACGTCATTAATTAAAAAATGTTAACTTACTCATAATCACGGGATATAACGCGAGGGACTTTCAATAATTTAGTATCAATATTAACGATTTCATAATCAAACGGATCTTCATCTAAAAGTTCGGCGACCGATGCATTAGATAGAAGAGAGACAGTGGGTGAAGTTCCGCCTAATTTCACACTATAGTCATCCGAGACATCCTTTTTCATATAAACACGATCGTATCTGTCTTCAGTTAGCGATATGTGTCTAAATATAACTTTACTCGATGTCTTTATTCTTGGTTCCACTGCTGTTTCACCTGGTGGTATCTGCGATATAAGAGCGCGCGCACACATTTGACTAAACTATCGCATAACAGTTGCGGGATTGTCGATTGTTTCGCAGCAAATTCAACTGTTTATTTGCACAAATAACAGTGTCCGCACCTCCATGTAAGTTCATAGGAATTAAGACGAGACTAGATAGATGTGCGATTGTTTAGTTAAAAATGTGCTCGCATTCAAAAACTGATTGTTGGAATTTATAAATGCTGTTGTAAGATTAAAATGTACGTACATCTTCATCAACTTTTTGCTTCGCTTTAGAAGTACGATCGAAAGGACCCCATCTTCCGTAAAGTATTGGTTCTCTAATAACAAAGAAAGTTTACTTAAAATCTACGTGTAAAATATTAAATCATAGCGCTTTAAAATGCATCATTAGTACCCGAATGTTTTTAACAATATGTTGTTCCGTTTCTTAAGTTCCTTTTCAAGCGGTGTTGCCTTTCTCAACCCATAATAAGGATGTAATTCGTAAGTATTCTGTAAATTTTCATAGTTAACTTCTGCGTTCAAGCACATTACTCCAATGACGTGATCTTGATACTGCGGAGAAAGATAAAAATTGAAACTCTCTTCTAAAACACTCAAGAAATCTTCAGTAAAGTAATTTTTTCTCCAGAGTTAATGACTGAAATATCCAGATTTTATGACCATATTTTTATTGTTTATGCATATTTTTACTTACAGCAGCAACAATAACTTTGCGTTTCATCGTAGGATGGCGGCTTATTATTTCACTGATGTAATATTCTCCGTACAATTCCTTTAGTTGCGGACATTTTTTGTCTAGGATTTCTACGATATCGTCATTATCCTCTTCTCTAAATTAAAAACATAACATTTTTTAAAGAAGGAATTTACTTCTTGTTATAAGATCATACTTGCAAGTTCTTTAGGTACAGCAGAAAAGGTAATAGTTTGCTATTGTTATTTTTAAGAAAAAGTGATTACTCACACAGCGCCTCTGATCTTAAGTTTGGGACAAAAGTCTTGTCGCATTGCAGCATAAAAGTAACTGCAATTGCCTTCCCTAAATCCACTCCCCATTTTACTAGGCAAATATTTGTAGAAATTTCGTTTCTTGGACGCTAAATACCTTGTTATATGGTCTATAATAAAAAACACGTTTAATTTATACTAGTATTATAAAGTAAATAAATTCGACAGGATGTGTTAATTTGTTAAAGTTACTTATTACCTTCTGGACATCCATGCGGGATCATAACAACAATATTATTCAAATAAACATCCTGTGTAAAGACGGAGGTCAATGCTTCTTCTAGAAAGAAATCTGCGACATCATCGAGACAACAGATATAATGTATGAAGAGTGTATTCCGTGACAAAAAGTATTTCCTTGAAACAAAATATTATAATGTAAAAGATAAAACGCACAACGGATTATAAAAATGCTGTAAGTTTTTTGAAGAACCTTCGATGACCGTTGTTAGTGGTAGATATTATCATGCTTATAAATCTCTTCGTAAAACAAAGGACAATAACAACCATATGTTTTTTTTACTACAAATGTATATCTTACTGAAACAAATTCCTCATCCATATCTCCCAATCCACTTGGCTTACTCCAGGGACGTTAGGGTGATCGCTGAGGGCCATGAAACCTATCACGTCTTTGTTCACATCTATCATGCATATTGATAATGTACTTAGTTCACTGAAAAAGGAACACCCTGTAAGTTCACTTTAGTACTTGGAAACCGTAGTAAGGATAACGCGATAGTTGATAATACGAAAAATCAATCACATCAAGCTCCCTATATCAGCGCCACCGTAAACTTCTCCATATGTTTTCTTGATTATGTATTCTATGTCTGCTTTATCACCGTCTATAGCTCGTCTAAACCTTCTTCCTTTCGGACCAACATCGAAGTTAAAATATATCGACATTTTGAGAAACACGAAACTGCCGAACGTTTCACATAGGCCATGGCTGTTACGCGTTTGTTTTATATTTTTAAAAACATATTTTTCCATTAATAATAACAATTCAAAAATCTTTTTACAAGGTTCCTAAACTTAATTTCAAAATAAACTGAATCAAGTGAATGTTTTCGAGTGCAATATTTTAATAAAACACCATTTTTTATCTATTGAAAATTTATACAGCAATGTACATATTAAAAAAAATGAAAAGATTAAACCTAAAATTATAGCTAATAAGATTATATCTCTTTAAAATACAATTGTTGCACTAAAACACTTAATTTGTTTAAATAAAAAACACACATTATAATTTTCAGTATAAACTTAACCATATATATTTATCCAAAACTATAAGTTTAAAAAAAATCCACAACGGCTTCAAATTTTGCTTTAGTCGAAATTTTATCAATTAAATACTGATCGAATATTAAGTACTAGTGCACACAAAGCTGCCTTAACTATTTACAAAACATATCTAAAACTAAAAAATAAATGAAAACTAAACTAAAAATGTGTCAAAATATAAAGTCAACATACTTAATAAAACTAAAATTATTGATATACAACATAAAAAGGTGGGTTAGAAAAGTACAAATAAATTTGTTGAAAAAGAAAAGTTTTTATGAAGACCTAACTATTTTGTCAAACGAAAGGTAATTAATGTGGATCAATATTCATGATTTCAAAGAAAACTTATTTTAAAACAGAGAACGTATAAAAGTTCTCTTAAACAAAAATGCATTAATACTAAGTCTTTACAAACATTGAAACGGATTACAAGAAAGAAGAAATAAATTCCTCAAACGATTATTTCTATATTGATAAGAAGTCGTAAACATTTTCTTTTTAGGCAGTTAAAACATAAAAAATAATAATTATCCAGCACAAAATTAAAAACATATATTTAGTAGCGTTAAATTAGTTCAAAACCTCTGCAGTTATGTACAAATATTAAAAACGAAATAATCTCATCTTAGATTAGCGGTAAATTTTTACAACTTCTTGTATAAAGTTGAATTCTTTGAAAATGAGAAATTATAACCAACATATCTACAATTTTTACCTTTATAACATAAGATTTATTAAAAACAAACATGTTTGTATCGTAAATTCAAACACAGGAACTTTCTTAAATAAATCCATAGACAATAAATGCATGCCGGAAGATATGAAGATATAATTTCTCGTTTAAAATAATTCAACCATACATTTGTTGCTAAAAATTATTTATTACAACGAACACCAATAGAAAATTCAGGGGGTCACTAACGATTGCAAATGCAGTATGTTTTAGAAACTTGTGAAAGTATCAGATATAGAAATCACTTGAAAAATAATACTTTTTCTATCCCTTATCTTTGAAAATAAATAACAGCATATGTTAGAAATTGTCTGTGTATCCTTCTCTCAATTAAAGATAGGCAACAGATCTGCAAATGCAGATATCTATAGATTACTATGCTATTTTTAAAAACTCGTACCGTTTGTTGGTTTCCTTTAATAAAATAAAAAAAGGTAATATATCTGAATGCTTTAACACCCTGTAGCTATAGTCCAGCCATAGCTTAGACGTTGTCCATTGTCTTTAGCAAGTTTTTACCCCTAGTTCCTGTGGTTTTAGACTACATCTAAAATCGTGTTTTTTGTATGCTGAATTTTTTAAATAAATTTACGTCCTCAGTCAGAAATGTCACGTGTAGCTTATTTTAGCCCCTGTACCTTCAGGATGTTTTGTGATTTTTCTCTGAAACCCTATATTTCGAGTCTTACGAGTTACAATATCGGAGGTAGATCTTTCGCTCGCGCCAAATGCGTTTGTGACTTTGACCTTCTTACATTATTAGGTGTGTTTTTCGCTGATAAAGGTGTAACAGGATTTTGTCTCTTTGCTAACGGCTGGGGAGTTGCAAACCCATCATTGTTTAACTTGGAGATGGATTTTGATCGTGTTAGTCGTTGCGGTGTGTACATCATGTTAGAAACCTTGTTAGGGTGGTAAATATTTTCTTTCTCCGTCTTGGGAGTTTGAATTGCTCTTCGTGGAGTCCTCTTCGGCGTGTCGAACACATCTAGACGTATGTTAGGTATCGCTTCTTGATCTCTCACCGCCATTGAACTACGACTGATTTTGTTTTCATCAATACATTCCTGGAAAAAAAATTAAAAACCTTACTGCTGGAAGAATTGAGAAATATTGTAGGCTAGCTGTTGCTCGCGACTTCGTTAACGTGGAATTAAAAATATAGCCCATGATACTCAGTGATACGTAGTTTTTTAATGGTGAAAGAATTTATAAAATCGGCCCAGTAGTTTTTGAGGTATTTCAATACAAACAAAAACACAAATCTTTTCTCTTTGTCATATTATAATAGCATAGATATAGACAACAATTTAATAAAAGTTAAACATATAGGATTTGACATTTTAATACCTTGTATTCTTTCTGTAAATATGTTCATTTTAGATGAAGAATTGCGATTAAAACATGCTTTGAAATGCTTTCTCTTTTGTAAAAGATGAACTTGTCGCCTGTATAGTAATTGTAAATCACTTAAAAACACTCCTTTAGAAATTTATCTACAAAACTATGCAATTATTCAAACATCTTAGGGAATTAGAACATTGTACGAGTTATAAAGTTAATGGCCTGTCCCACCAAATTGTAAATTGTCTGATAACAATCCAACGCATAAAATATGTAGTGGAAAAATCGGATTTATTCGGTTATGTGACAGGGACGTCATTTTTAAGCTATCTAAGCTATCAGCCAGTGGTGGGACAGGCCCTAAAACGCATAGTTTATACACAAACTGTGCCATGCAAATCTTACCTTAAAATCGGTGTACGTAGTAAGCAGTGTAGTTTCAGAGAGCGGGTTCTTCACTTTGTTGAGGGTGTTATCTTCCTCCTGCGAGCTAATGTTGGATCTGCCGCCATTGCTGCGGCGGCCGTGAGACTGGAAGTTGATATACAGAATATTATGTTCAGAGTCAAAATCAAATTTTGTGATGTATTCATGGTCAAAAGGAGGATGTTCCAAATTTTGGTCGATTGAATTTACGGATTCTATCGGCCCAGTGGGAATTTTCTTTCATTGGTTGATAGATCGGTGGTCTAAAAAGGAGTTTTATATATGACTAACTTTCGCCCGTGACTCCGTCTGCTTGATATTAAAAAATAATATAAAACATGGCCTATGTTACTCACTGACAACGTTGCTTTTTAATGTTGAAATAATTTTTGAAATCGGTCAATTAGTTTGCGAGTTAATTTATTTTATTTAAAGAAACAAAGTTTTCCTCTTTATAATATTAGTATAGAAAACATAAATTAAATGTGGCCAGTACAAAGGCGTGGATTACCATAGCAGTGGGATTTAAAAAAATCACAAGAAATGTAACATTTTAAGAATAAGATTAGGATTTACAAAAACTATTCATAACTATAATTACCGTTCGTTTGTGTTTCAGTATATTACTGTTGATGGCGATTTTAGGTGTTTTGGAGTCAACGCCGTAGTCCAGCATTCTCTTCACTTGACTGGTCTTCGAGTCTCCGCCCGCTTTGGCTACCAGTCGGCCACTTATACGCCTAAAATTAAAAATTTAAGAAGTTAAAACAATAAAATACTAACTAAGGCGATTTTATATTGCTTTAAAATGATTTCTTTTAACAATTGCAATATTATTACATTGCAATATTGGGAAAGGAATGGATGAAAAAAGAAAAGATAGGGACTTATGGAAAAGGTTGGAGGAGGCCTATACCTAGAATGGGGACCAATTACTGGCTCAGGGATTTAAGCACTTAACTGTGAATATGATTATCAAATTTCATATATACGAAATTTAATCGACGTTCTCACGGTGAAGAGAAACAAAGTTATGCAATCTGCACATATTAGCAAAGAAATTTAAAGATATGTGTGAAGTCATTCCGCAGTGGACCAGCGTAGTTGACTAAGGCCTAGTCACAATTTAGGGTGCCTATCCTTCGAGTACCTCAGTGGGAACGTATATTGTTGATGATTATTAAAATTGTACACAAGTTACCTTTTAATGGTGGACATAGCAGTTCTCTTTAAAGCAGAAATGTTGTGCGCGTTCGAGACCGCCTTGTTAGCGCTGCCCGTCACCAGCTGACGCTTCACTGGCAATCTGAAAAATAATAACATACATTTTTAAATAAATATCTAAGAATATACAGGGCGAAAACCAGTATAATATAAATAGTGATGGGTATTGAGTATTTACCTGTTCTTGTCCGCGGTGGAGGTGAGGCCCGCGGCGGTGCGGTTGCGCTTGCCGAGCGGCGAGGTGGCCAGCGAGCGCAGCAGCGGCGTGCTCGGCGTCAGCGCCTGCTTGCGCGCAGACACCTTGTTGTGCCGCTCCTGTACGACAATCATCACCATCATCATCATTATCACCGTCATCATCATCATTCTACTCCCGTAGAGTCGGTACGATATTTTGTCCTCCACATAACTCTATCATACGTCATCTGTCATCACTCCCTTCTTGATAATGTCACCTTTCACGCGATCCATCCCTTTCTAGGTCTAATTCTATTGGTGTTCCACTTCATATATTTTAGTTGTTTTTTTTTTAAATTTATTACTTTCAAAAGAAAATGTAGAACAAAATGTTAATTTAAGGTAGGCAACGCAACTGTAAATGCTGATGTCTATAGACAAATAGCTTCGCTAATTTGGCGAATAACGGTGCGAATAACCACTTGCTCGTTTATGACCGTTTGATAGAAAATGGCACTTTTTAGTTTACAAATTTCCTGTTAATTACTTACTGCTTTCCTGTCTTCCCAATCGTCCAGCATCAGCTGCAGCAGAGGCTTACCGTCCACTGTGAAAGTGTTTCCAGTTCTTTCTTGATATGCTGTCACCAGCTCTCGTATCTGAGCTTCGATCTTAGGAAGCTGAAAACAAGAATATAAATCCTTAATAATTTAAATTAAAGCAGATCCTTAGTGTTTATTGCTAATAGTTTAAGTCCTTAATGTTGGGATCAGTTCACATAAACTGCATATAAAAGAACAGTTTCTACGCAATAAAAATGAGCTTTAATATGAAACAATTATTTTTTTACTTAACACATCTTTTACACTTGATAACAAAAAAATATATATACAGACGAATTGAGTACCTCCTTCTTTTGGGAAGTCGGTCAAAAATACGTGCAGAGTAAAATTAGCCCTTGTCTTATTTGCACCGACATCTTAAATGATAAGACCGTACTGAATTTCCATTCATAATATCAAATTTTATGATGATAAAGAGATTGTAAGCAGTGTTTATGAAGAAGTATTGGAGATTATTTTCAATCTCCTGTCCTATACTAGGTGATATGCATGTGATGGTGCCACAGACATTTAACAGATATATAGACTAGTCATAAAGAACAACATTTTTTAACCACAATATCTCGATGTCTAATTTAACACTCTGAAACGATTCTCAGTGTTTCAATTATATGTGTGTTTGTGATTTTGTTTCGGACATCAGATAGTACTAGTAAGATTATGTGTAAAATGTTTCAAGTGAAGTGTTAACTACGGTTCCTGTATTTTTTGAGTATCTTTGGTTGGTGCTCACATTGCTGGCGATGGCCTTCCTCTCCTTCTCCTCCTTGAGGAGTTGTCCGCCGCGGTTGTGGTAGCGGCCGGGCTCGGTGGCGCGCGCCTCCAGCTCCGTCATCTTGCACCACAGGTTCTTGCGCGTCGCCACAAGATCCAAGATTTCCCTAGTTAAATCATTTTGTTTAATATTTCTAGCCGTCGGCTAAAGTGTCAGCTATTTATATAGCTAAAGCAAAGGGAGAAAGATAAATGTTATATAAAAATTATCCCAGAGTTATGTTTAGGGGATTCTGCATTTGTGACAAATTGTCATTAAACAATTTTATTTAATTACAATAGGCAATATGCATATGACGCCAAATTGTAACTTTTTTTAAGTATACTTCATTACTATAAAAACATTCCTGCATAGATTTTTTTTATTTATGTTATGAATGGAACATGACGATTGACGTCAATTGTCTCATGACAACTCCGGTCGCGTTTTAGTCGCTCGAAAGTGGTCGTAATTTTATTTTATTATTTTTAGCTCAATGGTTGAAGCCCACTAGTTATTTGTCAATGTGTGCTATTTATCAATATATTTATCTTTATTTAAAACAATATTGTTAGGAAAATATTAGGAAACGAAAGGAATAGTGGGGGGGGGGGGTGGTAGTCCAGCATTAGGTGTTTCTATTTCCCTATATCATATTGGAACTGTACCCTTGATGATTGGCAATGCACCCCCATGCTTAAAGTACTGTATGTAGGGGCTCAATCTAATCAGGGATGATTCCATCATTCAAGATTCTCTTCTCTAGTTTCTCATAAAAACTAACATGTCTAGTTATCTTGTTCAATAAATAATAAACTTACCTTTGCTCATTATAATGTTTAGTAAGTTTTTCCAAATATAACTCGTGTAAAGTAAGAACATCTTCAGTGAAGGTGTCCTGGTAGTAATGCACGAACTCCTCGCGCTCCGTCCGCGAGTACATCAGATTGTCCCACATCAGCTTTATTTTAGTTCTCACATTCGCTACAAACACCTAAAAAAGATATTCAGAAACTTAATACTGGTACAATGGTATTATTAACTTATTATAATATTTGTTCAAAAAGTATTAAATAAGTAATACAATTAAAAATGAAAGGACAGAGAAAAAATCATAAATATTACTGCAAATTATTGCATTCTGATATTAACTTTAGTGTTTAATATGTTTTTTTTAAGATTTGCTGCTTTTAACAAGTACTATAATCTATCTTACTAATATTATAAATATGATAGTATAGATGAAAGCATGGATGGATGGTAGAAGGTATATCCACTGTTGAACTAATCTTGATGAAATTTTGCATAGATGCAGAATAGTCTGCAAGAACACATAGGCTACTTAATAAGCAACGTCTATGTTCAGGAGACAAAGAGTTTTATTTCACAAATCACCTTTATTTTTGGGTGTCAAAATAAAAAAAAAACATGGGACCAGTACAGTGAAGCAAGTAAAACATGTCTATATATTTACCTGTATTTTTTGCCTTTTAATTTGATCACATCTTCTTATCTCTTCCTTCAAAGCATTTTCAGTATCAGGATTGCAGCCAACATGTGCTTGCAAGAAGTTCTCTCTGTAAATGCGGTCCTCCTCAAGACAATCCCAAAGTTTCGCTAAACGCTCCCGCAACTCTAATACCTGGAAAAAACATATTAAAATTAAAACATATTAAGAAAGGATTTGTTTTATAGGATTAAGCATCTTGGCATTTACCCACAACTTTTATTTATTCACCACAAGAAGACTCATAATTTACATGTAAAAAAAAAGTGCTGTTTCAAAGAGAATGCAATTACTAAAGTTGAAAACATATTTTGAACATGTTAAAAAGTCAATTCAAAATATGTCAGAATGGTGGCAGAAAAATATGTTATATAATAAGTTCAGCCTCTCTTTCCATTGCTGACTTGAGTTGTGTTTTTTTTTCTACCAAATAATACTCACTCTATTATTTGTCTGTTGGTATTTATCCTGCAAATCCTGTTGCAGCTTGGCCAGCCTGTCCATGTTAAGATCCGTCACTTTAAAGTCCACCGACAGTGATGAGACCACTAATTGTTCAAATTTGTTTTGTGGTTTAATATGCAACTTGTCTGAAAATATAAAATGTCATCAAACTATTTGAAGTCATGCTAATTGATATTTCTTTCTACTTCTTATTTCACATATAGTTTATCAGTATTATAAGTGCAAAAATATAGACGGACGGATTGTGTTTATGTGGATGTTAGTACATATCTACAAAATGGTTTAGAAATCTCGCTGAAATTTAGCATAGATGTAGAACATAGTCTGGAAGAACAGTCTACATGACAAGTTTTTTTTTATTCAGCGCAGAGTCACCAGTAAATTCTAGTCATAAATCAGTATATTAAATGGGAAAGGTTGGTATTGTAGCTTTTGCCAAACAATCTTTCAGTTAAAACTGTGAACAGTTCAACTGATAGTCGTTTAGTTAAAACTATCAGAACTGAAGGTATGTAGCAAACTATAGAAATTATCTCAAGGGCAGGATCTGGATACAATTTGATATTGATGAAGAACACTATTTGGAAGACACATAAGCTACTTAACCTTTTGTTTTTTTAATTTCCTGTAGACATATTCTCATCGAAAGTTAGTTGTTATGATTTGTACATTTATGATAAACAATTTTTTAACATTTACAATTTGATAACTTACCCATAATATCTTTTATTTCCACTTGAGTATTTAAGAATATTTCTACTCTTTTATCTCGTTCTGTTTGTAGCACCTCCAGGTGATTTTTTAACTTGTCTAATTCCTCTTCAGATGGTAATGGTACATCTTGTAACTCGTAGATAGTTGTTCCGAGCTTCTCTCCGATATCCTTTTGCCACTCGAGCAATCTTTCCATTTTCATTCGCCGTTGCAGTACTTGTTCCCTATACCTGCAATATTTTAATGTATACAAATTTAATCTAAAAATAGAAACAACTCTTATATACTGAATTAAATTATTTGGAATTTAAAGGTTTTTGGTTTAGAGGTTTTATATATATTGGCAACTCAGATCTTTATTCAAGCCATTATGCAAAAAAAAAGTTAAGGTGTAGCAGAATACAATACACATCATTTTTACCCTTGACCTTGAACTGTTAAGACATTTGAAAAGATCAATAATTGTTGTTATGAATATCTTACATTAAATATGTGATAGATAAGTAAAAAAACATCAAGTTTTAGTTATATCCATTAAAGACACAGTTATAAAACAGAGTTTTGTAACTTACCCGGCAATTTGACTTTCAAGTTCTTTCTTATAATCAAACAACAGCATATCCTCTTTAAAGTCCATTATTGTTATATCTACTGACAGACATCTACTGAGTTCCTCAGTTTCTTCTTTTAGTTCTATGAAATTAATACACCATTACATGAGAGCCATAGTGCAGTTGTGGTATAAATATTGAAGTACTGTTGTACAATGTATACATCATCATCAACAGCTCACTATACGTCCCCACCGAGGGGCTCGGAGCCTACCCTAATATGGGGTGACTAGGCCATAGTCAACCACGCTGGCCAAGTGCGGGTTGGTTGACTTCACACATATCTTTGAATTTCTTCGCCGATATGTGCAGGTTGCATCACGATGTTTTCCTTCACCGTAAGAATGTTGGGTAAATTATGTACATATGAAAATTCGAAAAATCGAACATCACATACACATACATTGTAAACATAATGTATTCAAATCAATTTTGTGATGTGATGAAAGAAACAATACTTAGTGGATGTTTTTAGTAGATTTTCTGTACTTACTATCAATTTGACTCTGCATTGTTTTGAATTTTTGCTGAGTCTCCAAGATTACTTCACGATGAAGATCCTTTTCTATTTGCACTAGCTTAGTGATATTGCTGATTTTAATCGCATTCTCCACTCCTAAATGTGACCAATTGGTCCACAACTCTTCCATCATATGGTAAATATTTTGTGATATTTCCTGTAGAACCTCATTGCTGGAATATTATTTTATCTATTAGACTTTACTACCAAGAAGTAGAGAAATCCATCATTATTACTAATAGTTACAAACTAAACAAACTACTATGACTGAGCCGCACCCTGGACTTAACCATTTTTTAGAATTTCGAAAGTATACAAGTTTTTAAACAAGAGATATTGACTTGTTTTGAAAATAAATCAACAGGAGCCTTCAATGCACGGTATATATAAAATTGTAAAATCAGTTTAGTTAAATTATAACGAGAATTTTCAAACACTTACAAGAGATTCCGAACATCTTCGGTTATGGCAACCATCTTCACAAAACTTTAACAAGTTTAACCACACAAATAATATTTCTGTCTTTATAGATTAATTATAAAGTAAAATAACTAAGTAAGATAACTATATTTCTCTTCAAGAACACTATCGCCATTTACCTATGTCAAACGGTAACAACAACCATAAACTTTACAACCGATAATGTTCAAATGTTAACGGAAAAAAATACAAACTGGGCGCCATGCTGTGCTGTGATTGGTTGACGTTGGTTGACGTGAGTTTTTTAAAGTTCAACAAGGCCAAGGTATTAGCAGCATACATCCACAAACATCTTTGTGAACTTGAAAGATTTTTAATTATGTATTTTAAAAAAAAGGTAGTTTATCCATTTATTATGATTTTTTCCTTTCTGAGGTAGAATACTTGCATTAAAGTTGATCAAATTAAAGGAGATGCATCAAAAAGTATTGATTTTACCCGGCAACTGTCAAACCAATAATACCGTGACAAAAAAAATAAAACAATATTTTTTAATTTGCAAGTATACTTGTAATAAGTACATTTGTATGTATATAATTTTCTATAATCCTTTTCTTTCACTGATCAATAATATTTTCATAAACTATTATAATAATGAAATTCCAATGCTTGACATTACGCCCTACAAGAACAAAAATAAAAGCGTTGTTGCTTTGCGGGGCTACGTCCACATAATAAGCAAAACTTAGACCGAGGTGGATAAATTGACCATAATTAAAGACAAAAAAAATACAAAAAGTTCTCTCCGGCGGGGAATCGAACCCCGGTCTCCCGCGTGACAGGCGGGGATACTGACCACTATACTACCGAAGACTTGTAAGAATTTGTGAAAAAATAATACATAAGTATGTAATTTTTTCTCACGTCATTGTTTAAAGTAACACAAAAATATCCGTAGTTGACCTTTAAATATTAATCTTAACGAAAATAAATGATCAAAAACGAAATCGCGTAGTACAAGTTGATGAAATCAATTTCATTTAAGAATTAACAATAGCGATATGAGTCATCGACAACAGACGGCAGACGGACTAAAATTAACAACGCTAGCGACGCTAGCAAGCTGCGGGCAAATTTTTTCGTATGCGATAAGCTTTGATAAAAAATAGCCGATTGCAGCCAAAAACTGTTTGCTATTAGGTGGCCATCAGGAGTCGCTCTTAATTATTATATCTTTCCTTGTAGATTCAATGATATCACGGAATTTTAAGATGAATTCTGAAATATTATTTTATATACCTTTCGCATTGTTTATCCTTTGCGAAGATATATCAGTCTATTGAGTTATGCATTACTAAAACCGCATTATGTGATCTAAATCGTTAATTCGAATAATTGTAGAAAACACGAAAGTGTATCTAGCTGTATCCGGATGTACGATGAATTTATACAGATTGTAACAACATCGAATGTCCCAATGCGAGATACGCGATCGGCATGAGAAGCGAGTAAGTGGAGCAGAGAAACATGGCAGAGATTCCGGCGGCTTTAATTTTTACCTTTCACTTAGATATTGAATTAATTAATATTCTTAAACAATTTTAATAAAATAAAATTTTTATAGGCTAATAACACATTAATGATTACACAATTCTGTCTATAAAATGAGATAATTTTCGAGGTTTGAATATATTTTAATGGTTTAAATAATTATCGTATTATTTAGTATCATTTGAATTCTTTCATAAGAAAATCATTATTTAGTAAATCCTATGGCAAGCGACATATCAGTTGATCGCAATAATCGATTTTCGATTTATAACCTGCGACCTTAAGTTTTATTTTTCATACTACGCACCAGTCGGATGTTAACCACTAAACTATAATTGACTAGCTGTTGCTTACGACTTCGTTCGTGTGAATTTAGAAAAATAAAAATAAAAACATGACCTAAGTATGTTAGTCACAGATAATGTCACTTTCTAATGGTAAATTTTTTTTAAACCAGCCCAGCAGTTTTTGAGTTTTTCAATACATACAAAGACACAAATCTTTCCTCTTTAAAATATTAGTATAGACAACTCGGTGATAGATAGATATTTAATTAAAAAGTTATGTAACAATAAGAGCGAAATCTATCTCATTTCGAGAACGTTCTTACGTTGTTCTCTTTACTGTCAGTATAAGTGTGATTTATGTCTGTCGTTCCAATTTCCACGAGAATTTCACTGAATTATGACAACATGACGAGTATCGGCATATTGAATACATTTTTATGACAGTCTTTTATGTGTACTTTTATATGATGACGTAGCAACAGGCTTTCTTTCATCTATTCTAGTATAAGATATAATTTATTTTAATTATTGCTGGTGGTAAATAAATTTTGCATATCGTTCACCTGTCCTTAGAATTACTTCATAGTTGCCTGTTACTTTATTTTAAATAGTACATTCTGGCGTTATGTAATGTAAAGACACAATTAGCGATAGACTTTGATCAAAGTTGTTACGCGACTGCACACTTTATCGACTTTAATTACTTGCTGTTACTTAAACTTCTGGAGTAAATTTTAAATAACAATTACGATGATTGCGTTTTACAGTAATACACAGTACACATAATGGAACTTCATAAGTAGATATTTAACACTTTTCAATGTTGCAGATTGCATCAATCACGCTATCTCTCCTTTAAAAAAATAAGGACTACAATACGCTTTGTTCAAGTAATGGAAATTTACTGTGTTTCGAGAGATTTACCAACCTCATTTTACTACTTTTTTGTCATTCGATTTATACTATACGAATGTTTATATAAAGAGTAGAGTTTTTTTTTATTTTATTACCTAGAAATCCTAAGTTCATACCTGTCTACTGATATTGTTTAAATAAAATCTATAACGTTGTCTTTCTGGTTTAACCTTTTCAGATATACGTTTAAATTATTTTTTTTTAAATCCTCGATAATTTATTGCAAGTGAAGGAAGTAATTACCGCCATGTTAGGGTTTTGCTAGCAGTTAGTGGGTTCATTATGCCATCACAGTCGATCATTACTGCACTGTTAGGTCACAGCGTATGTTCCCACGTAACTATTTGTAAAAAGTTTCAACATTAAATCCATTTGAAATAAAAGAAATATGTATTTACCATAATTAACTACATAATAAGAAAGGTAAGTGCAATAATTTTTCTAGGAACGAAATATTTTAATGAAAAAAAATGGCTATGAATTATACCCACTGAATTCCAAAGAAAGGTGTTTCAATTGTCCAGTTCAAAGTTCTTTAGACTTTCTGGTTCAAATATCAACATGATGATAGACCAATACTTAAAAATATTTAATGTGTGTTAATCTTTTTTTATATAATTGTTGCAGTTGAATTCGCGGAAACCTGTTTTTACATCATATTATAACATAATATTAGCATTTATATATATATATACGTGTAATATATGTTAAATTATAAACTGACTCATCAAAGCATTGATAAATACGACGATAGTGAAATGACTGGACATATTTTCGTAACACTTGAGCTTTCTCCGGCAAAAGCATTTAAAAAATAATCTAACTAATTGATTTCACTTAAACTTGGTAGGACTCTTTAGGTACTCTAAAGTTTTTTCCATATAATACTTTTAAAATTAACTTGAGATGTTAGAAGTTACCTTTATAAGTACAATAGGAAGAATACTGCATTTGCAGTTCTCAGAATTTGTCGTAAGAAACTTTTGGTAGAACATGAAAAAGAGTTGAGTGGAAATCAAACCTAAGAACCAGAGTACAAGCATCTTGGTATCGCAAGCACTTGGATATAACTCTTTGTTATAAATTCAATATAAAAAGTTTGTGAGAAAAATATACCATATTTGCAAAAGGGGACGGACGCGTAACAGCCGCAATTGCATGCAAATCGAGATCAATGCACCACAACACCGCCGCGCCACTTACAGAACAATTACAAGTATCACCGTACCAGACGGTACATAATAATGTGAGTAAAATACACTTATGTGTTCGATAGATAACTTTTTCCATATATCTTTGTGCGTCGACAAATTTCTATCTATTGTTCCAGCAAGGCACGAACAAACTGTCATCGTCAATGTAGCAATTGGTAAGACGTAACTCGCAAGCAGAGCACTCACACACTGCCGTTGGCTAAGTGAAAACGAGTATAAAAGCAATGCAAATTGCAAACGCCGGCATTACTTGCAACCCTCTCGTGGAGTAAGCCGAGCGAACGTACCACAATGAAATATCATGTGCGTAAATATGTGATTGTTGTGATAGTGCTATACAAACTAACAGTGCTTTAGATTAGATCTCTATATTCAGTTGTGCATCAGTACGATTTGATTTCTCGAAAACGTGTTAAATATATTCCTAGTTGTCTCAATAACTTTATCATATGGTACACAAGTAACCCAACGCCACTAAGTGCAACTCTTCCTGACTTATGGAATACGCCTCGTTATAGGAAGTTTATTTAGTTGCATAACATTCAAATGGGGGTTTCCTCGCGCTATTACTTTGCGAAACCAGTTTCTAGATAATGTCTTTACAATATCTATCGTTAAATCTAACATGCCGCCTATTAAATAAATGGACTAGAAAACTTCCGACAGTCATAATCTATTTGAAACCTGGAGTACAAGTTCTAAATGTACATAAATAAAATGTATCGTTTGCATTTTCAGATTTTCTTGGGATTCCTTGCTGTAGTCGCAGCTTACCCTGGATTCATCCATGAGCAAATTCCTCAAGTCGAGGAGAAGTACGATCATCAGGCTTTGATCGGGGAATCGGGTCATTCCCATCAGATACAGCATGAGCACGCCAAGTCACACCAGTCTATTAAATTCGAGCACTTTCATCCGGTGCCCGTATACGTCAAAAAGGAGCACAGCCATCTCCTAAAGCATCCTCTCGAAAAGGGAACTAGCGAACAAAACTTGAAGCAGATTCACCCCGAGGCGCAACACAACCACGGTGGCGGTCTGGTTCTTGAAGACCACAGGCTCGACACTGAACATCTTGCCGCCAGCCTTGGCCACGGCGGCTACGAGCAAGGCCCTGAGCACGGAGGATATGAATCATTGGGTGGATACGAAGGATCTGAAGGTTTGAAAGCCTACGCGGAACTCCAACAATCCCAGTCTGAAGGACAGTACTACCCTGAACACGGCCAAGGTCTATCCGGAGAGAGCTCCGAAGGCTACAAATACGAAGGCTACAACTAAACAGATTTAATTTATAATATATCAACGGGCATATGTGGAGTCTTTCTCCACTATCTAAAATTATTTTAGGTTAACGTCTTGCCTGTATCCGTTGTATTAAGATAAAATCTAATTAAACCGATATGTTCGGTTGTTAAGCTTTGTGGTTATTAAGGCTTCGTATTTTCAACGCTACGTACCTGAGATATAGATGTTAAACAGTGAATCGGTTAAAGCATTTTTAGGAATTCTTGTTAAAATTAAATTAAATTTTGTTAAAAGTTGTATGTGGATTTGTATGAGAAAATTAAATTATGAATGGCATTAGATACGCTTCTGGGTGCTTCAATGAGAAATTCTATTGAGTATTGAGTATTGAATGATTGTCACTTTTATGATCGAGTGAATAATTGATTTTGCATTATTGTAACTTAGAGCGTGTTGCTGCGTCCCAGTGTAATTGTGATATTAATAAAATGTTGAATTGAAAACTAAAGATTTCATTATTTACCTCAACAGCTTCTTTGTAAATTATATCTTTAATTTTTAAAGACCAAAGTCGATGACTGCAAATACAAAATCTATTTTTTTTACTGACTATGTCTTAATAATTAACATCAATAAAGTTGACAATCTAACCTACTTTAACAGCACAAAAAGCACCATTAACATGCAACTACGATTGAAATTATCAAGTCTAGACGATTATAATTCAACTATCACGGAAGTCGTTACAATTTGAAACTAAAGAATCAAACGAGCCCATTTATTTTGCATACTACTTACCATAATCTTTATTAGTCAACTGCAAGAATATGTTGCAATAAACAAAACTGTTATTATTCACACTGGCAACATTAAATTATGTTATGCCAACACTAATTATGTACGCGGTCGGCTGAGCTTGGCAATTGAGGTATGTACTTACATAATTTAAGAATTCGATCGAATAATTGCAGGAATGTTGCGTACCTGCCAATTATTAAATGCACTGCGTCTGTTGATTAATTAACTATTTTTTTTGAGTTTATTCACTGAAACAGATTGATTGCTGTTACAAGATTTGATAACTTGGTAATTAAGTATATTTACAAATTGTAGCGCAGTTTAAAGAAGAAAGTTACAGCTACACTAAATCAAAATTTAATGTATCACCAATTTTGATATGTTTTTTATTGACTAGCCTTTAGTTACTTTAGTTGCTATTATCCCAAAATAAAATTTTCACACAAAAAATAAAAGCAAACATTAAAAAATTATAGTTTTAACTATCTATACTAGTATTCTAAGAAAATCGTTCAGAATTTTTATAAGATTATTACTAATCGTCACCCTGCTCTGTCTTATGGATCAAAATGTATAATAGATAAAGTATGATTTTTTTAAGTTTCATTTAACCTAAGTTAACGAAACTTACGTTGTTTCAAATCACTGCAGTTAATTCACCATTGGCAATCGTCAAAATGATTGTCCCTAAGTGTACTGCAGTTAGCTAAGTCACGACGGAATTGTACCAATGCTTAACAATTTTTATTACCGACTAAGCTCTTGATTTCTAAAGAATAATTGGAAAAGATAATTTCCTTTCGCTTGCGTCATTTACTAATTGAATGTGTTGTAAAAACTGTACACATAAGTACTGTATTCTTCACTTATTTTCTTCACTTGATAGTTTAATAGTTTTAATAAAAATAGTTTTTTTTATTTATTTTATTATCAACATCATCTCCCTTTTTTTATAATATTAGGTGGCAAACGAGCAAGCGGCCACCTGAATCCGCCAAAATGGCGAAGCAACCGCTGCCTATATGCAAATGCGTTACCTACCCTTAATCGACGGAGGAGGAGAGGCACATAAAGAGGATATTTTCCCTTCCTATGCGTCTCCTCCGCCGTCAAATAAATTTTCCTTCCCATCCTTTCTCATAAGAAAAAAGGGTGGGAAGGAAAAGGGACCAAAGTTGGGCTTCTACCTGGCCTTATCCCACTTAATAGGGTCGGAACACTAGGTGTTATAAACCTTAATATTATTGCTTCATATGGCACCCGACCGTCTATCTGTCACCAATCCTACTTACCATTTTTATAGATAAATACAATATTTAAACGATACAACATTATCATTCAAATATTAAATTGGCGCATTTTATATGCATTTTATTCTTTACACCTACATAGTAATCGTCGAAAGTGAGTGAAATCTAGACACAGTTGATTTCTTACATTACATGCAGAAACATCACAAAAAAACATTAACGAGTTTAACGCATTTTGTATTCATCTTATGATCTGACTACTAATGTGCTTTTTTAAATTGTATGGTTAATTTTGTTACCAAGTTAAGTAGAGTTGATTTTTGAACGTTGGTCGTTTAAATTCTAAGCAAAATGTTAAGGTAACTAATCTTTATCTATAACTGTAACAATATTATCATCATCTCCTTATCCTACTCCCGTAGTGGCGCAACAGGTTTTTGTCCTCCACATAACTCTATCATACGTCATCTCAGTCATCACTTCCTTTTTGATCATGTCACCTTTCACACAATCCATCCATCTCTTTCTATGTCTAGCTCTACCGATGTACCCTTCCACAATCATTACTAAAGTTCTCCTTGTAACATGTGATTCATCCCTCCTTACCTTCCTTACCTTACCTTCTCTACTACTGGGGCTAATCTCAAACTTCCTCTAATCGCTGCAACAATATCGTGATAACTAAATATTTTGCTTAGTTACTTAGCTTTCTTGTCACATTCGATCAAACTATTATCAAATAGATACGATCGGAATGAAAAACAGTGTTATACATGTAACTACTTTCACGAAATACCGTTAGCAGAACAAATTTAATTTGTTTTTAACATGTGTTGGTCTTATTTTGATTTGGGATATATTTAATCTACACAAGTGTATAAATAATATTTCCACTACTTTTTAATTGTGTATTTATTTATTTTATAACATCATGAATTAAATACATAATACCAATAAAAATACCTAATATATAATTAGGCAACTGGTGACTAACTCGCTCAATGCTGTTTCTAATATTTAAGTATACTAAATGCAAATTTATAGGGCGTTGAATGTTAAAATGACTTTAATGGTTATAAGAATGGATTTACTTAACTGAGTTATTACAATTCAAATTTAATGATAGGCGTATTTTATGACATCGATTATTATATAACTGAAACCAATACAATTTTGAATGTCTATCACTTCCTGATTGTATTGAAATAAAATATTCATTCAAAATTTTAATGTTGTGGGCGGTCGCAGCTTTCTAATGATACGCAACTTTTTGATGTCTCTAACAAGGTCAATTACGAAACAATTAGGCTCATTAAATTTTATTGTTTGCTACAAGGTGTCTATTAATGAGATTTATATGACATCTGTTATGGCACAATTATCTGTATAATATTATCTATGGGTATGCTCCAGCCTATAACTTTACCATTGCCATTTTCTTAGCATCAATTACAATTTCTTAATATCAAAAACACCTACACGATTTAAAGAGCAATATAATAATGCGACAAAGTTAATTTCCAAATAGTGCCTACGCCTGTGAGTCTAAAATAGCAAAATATCAATCAGCCAAAGATATTGCTAAGATTTGTGTTTTTTCGTTTCGAACAATGTCATTTATACTGAAATTTTTGTTAAGGTTCCTAAAGTGAATAATTGAGTATGCTTAGCTGTTTGTAACATGAACAAGTAGGTAAGGCAATATTGGGACTTGTAAGAATAAAAGAAATATTGGTAGAAAAAACAACGTATACTTAAATAACAGACATCACCATGAATCACCATAAATTCAACAGAACACACAACAAATTTTATAAAAAGAAACAACAACAATGATAACCTATTAAGCGTTATTTAACTATTTGTCCCAGATGTGTCGGATGATGGTTATCCTCTCTGGCTGACCTCTCTGGCGGGTTGGTACTTCTACTGTGACTTCCTTTCTGTTGTCAGAAGATATGCGACGTTCCGGCGCAGAGGGTCGCTCAGTCGATGTTGTTGTTGTTGTTGTTGTTGTGGTTGTTGGTCTTCTAGTAGCCGTAGTTTTTGGTCTTTCGTTTTCAGAACGAGCGGGAGCCGCTACTTTCTTTGCGTCACCTTTTTTGGCTTTGCCTGATTGGTTAGCAAGAGGTCTGAAAATTTCCAATGGAACGGGGAAAGGATGAGGAACTTTCACTTCAAATGGCTCCGGGATCGGGACCAAGACAGGTGTAGGAACTTTAACGTGCTTTATTAAAGGAGATTGGCGTTGTCTTGCAATAGAGCCATCTTTGCGGATGATGAAAGGCGCTCGGTTACCACGACCTTCCGCTCTTATATTGGCTCTCAGCTTTTCCAACTGAATTTTTCGGCGTTCCTCGTTTTCAATAGCTTGTTTCTGGTCGTTATATCTTGCAGAGAATCGGAATCTGCCTAAGGTAGTCTCAGCGTCTGGTCTCGGTTGCTCCGTAGTAGATGTCGTGGTTTGTTGTGAAGCCAGTTGTTTCCTCAGTTGCGAACGGTTCAACTCCAACAAACGCAACCAACGTTCTCTGATCGGTTCTTCTTGAGGAGCCTTAGTCGTGCTCGGGGCAGGCTTCTCAGTAGCAGAGTCAAAGGGAACTAGTCGGAATCGTTGCTGTTGCTCTTGCTGGGCCTCAGGTTGAGCTTCTTCTGTTTCCTCCTCAGCTTCCTCTTCCTCCTCAGGCTGAGCTTGTTCAGTTTGAGTTTCAGTTTCGGGATAGTAGCGCAAGTAAGCGAAAGGATCTTCGGGGGATGGAACGAAGTTCTTGTCATCTTGTCTGAAAATCCAAGCAAACTGTGGGTCATCTTCTATTTGTTCGGAAGCCGGCTCTTCCACGGGTATCGCAGGCGCAGCCTCATTTTCTTCCTCCTGAGGTTCTTGAGATTGTTCTAACTCTTCGGGACTTAACTCGAAAAGATCGTCTTGTTCCGGCTGTTGCTCCTCAGCTTCTGGTGCCGCTTCTTCGGCGGGTTCAGCTTGATCCACTGGCTCAGCACTGATATAACCTTTACCTTCTTGTATCGCCTTAATTTGGCTTGGGGTAAGATAAACTACGACTTCTTTAGTGGCATACCTCTTTTGAGGATTTTGCACTGCTGGTGTCCTTTCGATAAATGTTTGTGGCCCGGGGTCTAACCGCTTGGATTGCACTACGACAATGGCGAGGGCCGCAAACATAAACCAAGTCTGAAAAAGAAAAAATAATTAATATTTAAACAAGTAATAAAATATAACTTAACAATCACATTATTTGCAGTAGTTTTTCTGTAAATTATTTATTGTTTAATATAGTTATCGAACGAATAAATTCAAGAAACAATGAGCAATTATCAATAAGGCTAATAGTGTTTTATGTTCAGAATTTGAATTTTTATTTGTGTTGTAAAATTAAAGCCACCTTGTGAACAGATAAGCCACATATTTTAATAAATTAATACAGATTAAGTCTTATTGGTT